TCGGGATACAAGGGATCGTCGTTGGACTGCGCGCATGTCCGTTTAGGATTCTGAAGTGACGAGTTACGCTACTCTGCCGGCATGACACATAGGAGACACCGCTAATAGCGGAAACACAGCTGTGAGTGGCCGTTTAGCGGTGGCACAGCTGTGTAGCTAGGAAAATTTAGCGGTGTCACAGCTCGCGTTCACTCACAGCTGTGTCTCCGTTACCGCTGCCCCAGTGCGGTGTCACAGCTGTGTCGGGCATCCCGGAGTGGAATCACAGCTGTGTCGGGCATCCCGGAGCGGAACCACAGCTGTGGCCCGGGACTTAGTCGTTTTTTGGGTCAAAAAATAAAATTTTTTATAAAATTTATCTTTCGTTCCGGATGGCACCGGAATGTTACAGGCACACGGAAACACGTTTATTGGCTCGTTTTCAATGGGCTGGGACCGCGTTTAGGTGTTATCGGAGCTCGAGTACGAGGGGCTACACCCAACGCTGGGACAACATGCGCTCTGCACAACGAGTTTCCGCCAGGGTTTCTTTCAAAAAACTTTGCTTTTGGTTGAAATTTTTTATAAAAAACCAGGGTTGAAAAGCCGCTTCGCGACTTTTCAACCCTGGTCCCGTCTGCTACCACGATATTTGCTTGGCTTGGCTTTGCATAATTTTCCCACATTCGGACGACGAAAAATGAAAAATCCTCCCCCTCTTCTATTATATAGGCTAGCGCGATTTCCGGCGCATGCTAATTTGGTCCTAACAAAGAGGGCTGTCGGGTTTTTCAAGAAAAACTGAATTTTAATGTCGAAAATAGAAGGTTTTGATAAATCTCATTTGCGTGCAGTCATCTCGAGACCATTACGCACCTAATGACGTATCATACATACCTCTAACTTTCTCCCTTCTTGAGATACTGCTGGAACACGGTGACGGAAGTTGCATGCAAATGCACACACACACACACACACAAACACTATTTTTTTTATATATAGTAGGATGCGTTTATTTGTTGTTTCGTTTAGTTATTTGATAGATTATTGCTAATAAAGCCTATTTGCACAAGTTTTGATGATTTTAGAAGCAAATCGACGAAAACTCGAAAGGAAATGGAAGTTTATGCACGCTTTTTGTAACTTTTTCGCGATAAAAAGTAGAAAGCAAGTCATTTCTGATTATCTCGCTTTATATTTGTTTCATTTTCTTTTACTGCAATGTTTTCTTTGTTTGATACTTTGATTTTCAGGCAACTTCCTCAGTTCAGCGAGGGAAAACGGAAAGAAATGATGTAAATTTGGTCGCGATGACCTAAAAGTACGTTTATGTAACATTTTTAGTAAGTTTGTGGTTTAGGAATTCAACGTCACCACGAAAAGATGTCGACAACGGTTTATGCGTCTACTCTGCTAAACCCAGGTACGATTTTCGTTATTGTTTAGGAATGTGATGCGATCGACGCCCGGAAAGCAGCTGCAGATTGACGTTCGCGTTGCTACAACCGGCAGAACTGGTGATTCTGTTTGTTCAGGTACGTTCTTTTTATACTAGGTGTTTGTTTTTGTACGTTGGTCATTCCTTTTGCTGTAAAACGCGTATTTTAGGTTAGATCTCGTCGGCACCGTCATTTTTGTAAAGATGTACCTGGGAATTCAGGTATTTTAACTTTTAATTTTCTAACTATCTCTGTTTTGGCATGGCGCCGCAGTCGAATGAAGTGCCCGTCAAGTATGCCTCTCATTGTCAGTGACGCCGCGCATTACAAAAGTATGTTTTTTTGTGTTCGTGACATAATTTCTAGGTAACCCGGTCAGAAACAACAGCTCGCCGGCGTAGAGGCCGAGAATATGGTATATTTTTCAAATTTTTGATTGATTTAGAGTGTGTGATTTAATCTTGTCTCAATATGGTGATTTAGGCCGATGAATTGCTCAAGGATTTTTCGTGGCAATCTCTGATGGGCTGAGGTATTTACTTTCTGTGTATTTTCAGGCATTTTTTAGGAATTCCGACGAGAGCCCGTCAATGGTCATCGCGCTAGTCTCCTGAGGATTCCAGGGTATTTCTTTATTCCTTTTTAGTAGATATTTTCTATTCATAAACTGAATTTTTATACTTATATCTATTATCTTTTTAAAGTCTGTTTAGCGAATAAATAAAGTCTTTTTAGTCGTGCGCACCCTCGGTGAAGACGCCCGGACGTCGAATTGGTGGCCGGCAGTGGACTGGTGAAGCGCGACGACGAACGACAGACATGCAAGTCTCATTTTTTAATTTTCTTGGTGCTTCACTGTTAGCGGGGGGGACGGCAAATAGCTTATTTTTCTGATTGTGCCTATTCCCGACTAAACAAGAAAGAATTTTTGTAGTTTGCGTAGTTTTCTTTAATAAGAAATAAATATTCCTTTTTACAAGGCCCAATTTAGCAAATTTTGAATAAGTTTTCTGTAATTTTCGACGAAACTTTAAAAAAATTTCAATTTCTAAGGATTTTTTATTCTACAAATTCACTGAAGAATTGCTTAAAAACATTCTGTAGTGTTTTCGGGGCATATCCGGCTAAGGAAATTTTAGGAGGATGAATAGTGTAAAATAGGCATAAAAATCTAAACGATCAGCCCCCCGCTAGCAGAGAAGTGCCATACTCTTTTATGTGATCTTTATCGTATTGTCGGTATAAAAATTTTACTTATCTTTTGCCGTGTACTTTTTCCGCGTTTGGGGTTGAATACCCTTGCTATTTGGTGCTCATGATCATCTCCGAATACTTTTCAAACCAATTTCCACTCGGAAATTGGTTTGGAAAGTGCGAGGAGCATGAACTGTGCTTCTGTGGTGCCACCGCTATGCTGGGGTATGCATGGCAGTGGTCGAGTGGTGGCACTGCTGTGGGTTCCCCAAGCACAGCTGTGACACTGTTGGGGCACAGTTCAATAATCTACAGGTGGCACAACTGTGTTAACAGTGGTGTCTCCTATGTGTCATGCTGGCAGAGTAGTCAAGGCGCTAGCAACTCACTCGGGGACAGTGAAACCAGCGTCGCATTGCACCACATATTCCAGCCCCAACGTCGGCGGCTTGTACTCAATCTGGGCCGTAACACTAAAATAAATAGTGTGTCGATCACGCAGAATCTGACGTTTTCGGGCATGTCTTTTCGCGAATCATCTGTCGGCTGCAGAGGTTGTGCGGGAAGATTATATGATTCGCTGAAAACGCAAAACATTAGGTGGAAGGTTGAAACGGACCGTTCCCATCATTATCCGGGAGCACGAACTGGACGGTCTTGATGCAATTCGGGTCCGTAGAACCCTTTTTGCAATACAGCGGTCTCGGGTCGCAGTCGATCGTCCAGCGTCCGGTTGCCTCATCAAGTCCGAGAGCGGCTCCGACTTCACATTTCGGCGTACACTTGGGACACTGAAAAAATTGGCATATGGGACCGCGCTTGTCGTCGCCCTTCAGAAGGGAATGGTCTACAGGTGTGCCTCGAACCCAGCTGTGATTATGCTCATCTTGTACATAGAGCTCGTCGAGCCGAGCAAAATGATGTTTCTTCGTCTCAAAGACTCAGTCTTCGCGTAAAATTACGCACCGCGTAAAATCCCCCCCGCGTAGCCGACATATACCAAGTTTCATAGTGTTTTGGTGATTGGAAACTACCAAAAACCTGACCAAGCTTTATTTTGATTCATTACTATGCAGCCATAGGGTTAATTAAAAAATTCGCCTTGCTCCCCCGCTAACACGGAAGCACCGAAAAATTTGGTTCCGCCCCCCCGCTATCGGTCCAGAACCTTCTATTTGAAACTTGCACATGATTCTCACCTCGAAAGCCATAATCGATTTCATGCGCAGGATTTGAGAGTACACCCTTTGGCCCAGGGTGATATCACTCGCATAGCAGGCGAAAGGCACGTTTTTCTGGCACTGAAAAAGGTTTTTATCCATTGGCAACAAATAATACTGACCGCAGGCTCGCCGGTTTGCTGAGGGAGGGGCCGAGGGGACGGTGAAGGATTGCTGGAAACCGTACATAGTAAGGTTCTGGCTCATTAGCAGGGGGGAGCTTAGCGGGGGATGGCGGGGGGTAAAATGTCGTCGATTGTTCGATATGCACTGTTTTTGCAGACTGCTATATCATCGCCACAGGTAGAGCAAATATCCTAACAAGAAGTACTTTTTTGAGCCATCTGCAAAACATTACAAGACCTAGCTCTTTCGATAGAGAATTCGATTCTGAACAAGACTCCGTTGTCGTTTTTTGCGGAATGGCTATCCCTGATTTTATAAAATTTTGAAACTGCACCCAAAAGCGTCTCTTTTCGCTCGAAGGACACTCTTGGTAAGAAAATTCACTAGTTTTTTAATCTTAAAAAATCAGGGATAGCCATTCCGCAAAAAAAGGCCAACGAGGTCTGGTTCAGAATCAAATTATCTATCGAATGAGCTAGGTCGTGAAAGGTTGAAATGACTCAGAAAAGCACTGCTGATAAGACCAGCGCCCAAAACCCGCTTCGCGGGCCTTGGGCGCTGGAATGCGGCCTTTGCATGAGAAATTTGGCTTTGCAATAGCTCGGGTCCGGCAGACCGCCCACCACACGCGCGCGTGCAACTCGGAAGAATGAGGAAATTTGTAATGTGTAATTTGTAATTTGTACTCCTGGGGCAGGGCGCCGACGGCGTTCATGAACACGAGCGATCCGATGAAGATGCGCATCAGCAACAGGCGCTGTGGCGACGACGGGTGGCCGAACATCAGAATGGACGGCTGGGGCGAGACGAGATGGGTTCGTCGAGTTCCCCCTTGTCATTTATATGCGAAAACTCTTGCAAATTTGGGGACGTTTCCGGCACGGAAATTTGCAAATTCAAATTCAAAATACAAAAAGTCGCTTGCCCTAAAAATTATCTGCCCCATATTTTTCTCAAAAGCAGCGTTGAAATTCTCGTGCTTTTCCTATCCGGTTTTTTGGCTTTCGAACCCCAGTTTATTCCGCACACGCGCAAAAATCTACAAAAATTTATACGACGCCATGTGGAGGCCGAAGAGGGGCACGCGAATGAAGCCCGGGATCCAGCCGGCCTAGAAAAAGCGAAAAAATAAAATATATACCAGGGTTGAAAAACCGCTTCGCGGCTTTTCAACCCTGGCCCCGTCTAGGATCGATGAAGTTATTGACTTTGCATAATTCTTGCCGAAAACCGCTCACCAAAAATGAAAAGCGCACCTTTTCTTCCTTTTTATAAACCATTTCCACTTCCGGCGTATGCTAATTGTTTCCTAACAAAAAGCTTGACCGAAAACTTTACAAAAACCTAATTTTAATATCGAAAATTGCAATTTTTCAAACCTTTTATGTGTGTGCAGTCGATTCCGGCCCCATCTTTACCCTATGACGTTTCTTCCCTACCGAAAAAATGCTTCTCCGAGGCTGTAGGTGCGGAACATCCAAACGGAAGTGCATGCAAATATACACACACACACACACAAACACTATTTTTTTATATATAGTAGGATATATAAATCACCCACCAGCCGTTTCCAGCCGAGGAACTCGAGCGCCGTCGATAGCTGCCGCATGTCGCCCGGCATTTTTCCTGGGTAAAAAGCCGTATAACGTACCATTTTCTATACCATACTGTTTTTATTTCTATGTAATCCCTATTGAATAATCGTAAAAACTTGATCTTGGTTGGATATAAAATTTGGCATACCGTCAATATCCTTAAAGCCATACTCCCGGGCCAGATCGTAGGTTAGCAAGATTTTTCCGGATTTGCGAAGCTTCTGAAACACGAAAAACATGGGTTCCTTCGCATTATCGGGAGTTTAGCACGGCCGGGGAAATAAAAAAATTTTTCAGAGGATCCAGCTTTTCAAATATAAACAGCGAAAATGTTTCTAGACTGTTTTTTACTATCCCTAAACGTAAAAACTTTGCAAATAATTATTAAAAAAATACAAAAACTATCGATTTTCGACCAAAATCTCGACGTTTTGAAAAAGTTTGCAAGTTTTTTGAGCTGAAACGCGGTTTTATTTTCCTAAAAACACGATTAAAACACTGACTGTCGAGTTACTAGACATTTCTAGACTGATAGGAAAAAGATTGCTTTAATTTTGGCATTTTTCTGCCTTTTTAATCACCCCGAATCGAACGAATTTTGTCGGGAGGATGTCAGAAGCGCCAAAGCAAAAGCGCCAATCACTAAAGCGCGCAGGCAGAAGCGCCAAACGAAAAGCGCCCAACGCCAAAAAGCGCCCAATGCCAAAAAGCGCCCAATGCCAAAAAGCGCCCAATGCCAGAAAGCGCTCTATGGGGAAAGCCAACGTATGAAGAGAGGAAACAATTACATAAAGTAGAGATAAAATAGTTGTTTTAATAGGTTTTCTGGTGTTATTATGGTAGTTTAGCGGCAGTTCGACCTACTAGGCCATAAATTACCGACTGGGTCAAGTTATTTTGGCCTCCTAGGGCATTCTTTCACTCGAATAGCTAGTTCTCTTCTAAAGCAGCTTTTCCACTATTTTTGAAGTAGTTTCTTGATCTCTACATGCTGGAACTGGTCCGAAAATGCATTTCTAATGTGAGAAAGGTATAAACTCGCCGTGGAAAGGTTGTTTAGTGCCATTTTCGGATCCATTACCCGGAAATACGGCGTTTTTCTCGTCGTTCTGGCCTCCAAACACTGTTTTATAACAAGTATTTCTTGCTTGCAACAGTATTGTGACTGAAAACATCAGAAATCGTGAGAACATGAGGCAAACCCGGTAAAACTAGAGACTGAAACACGGCAATTCAAGCCAAAAAGACCCAATAAGGCCAAAACAACCCGCTCGGGGTGATAATTTGCCGTCTACAAAGCCTACCTATCGCTAAACAACGTTTAAAAGGCATACAAAGCTTGAAAAAAGCCATTTTATGTAATTGTTTCCTCTCTTCATACGTTGGCTTTCCCCATAGAGCGCTTTCTGGCATTGGGCGCTTTTTGGCATTGGGCGCTTTTTGGCATTGGGCGCTTTTTGGCATTGGGCGCTTTTTGGCGTTGGGCGCTTTTCGTTTGGCGCTTCTGCCTGCGCGCTTTAGTGATTGGCGCTTTTGCTTTGGCGCTTCTGACATCCTCCCATTTTGTCGACTGGCTGTCGCCAGCCACGTGACACTTCAAAATACCTGGGCTAACAAGTGCTCCCACGCCAAAAGTCCGGCTGGTTTGCCCCGAGTGAAGCGCCCAATCACTTGCCCTTTGATCCCTGGCCAGGGCGACGATGCCGAGCCCGGAGAATTCTGGCGATTCGGCCGTCGCCACCTGCTTATCCGCCAGCGCTTTGTCGATTTTCAGCACGGTGGCAATCTCGTCCCGCTGCTGCATCAGTTGCGCCATTTCGGTCCTATAAATGACCAAGTTACGCTCAAAATTACTCGGGATTAACAGCTCATCGCCACTCAGGATCGGATCCTCACCTAACCGTGCCGGGCCACACGGTAACGCAGGTCACATTGTACGGCTTCAGCTCGACGGCCATGTCGGCCGACATCCGATCTACCTAAAAGGTTCGGATTTTCGTCTTTTTATATTAAAGAATGTACGAAAGCTGAGCAAAATGGTCACAATTTCGAATTTTTAGAAATCCTAAAATATTGCTTGTAACTTTCTAGCCATCAAAAACTACGAAAAATTGAGAAAGATTCAGAAAAATTCATAAAAGTCGAATAGACGCGCAAAAAAAGACAAAAATCAAAATTAGCTTTCCCTGCCAAGAATTCCCCCTCCCCCGTTAACAGCCCAGTGCCGAACGAACTGCCGACCTCTAACTATCGGATAGAACTAGTGATGGGGTTATTCAAATCAAATCTTGACTCAAATCTGAGAGCTCAAATCTGAATATTTGAAGGCAAAAATTTCAATTTCAAATCGGCGGATTTGATTTGAAATCCCGTGGACGAGTTCAAATCAAATCTCGAGGATTTGATTAAGTTTCCGGTCCTTAATCAAATCTTATGGAGATGCCGGCATGCAAAACGTAAGAAAATCGCGTTGGCCGAGCTGGCGCGAACCGGAAATGACCTTGATTATGCATACCATCATACAATTAGCATCCGCGTAATGAGCTATTGATTTTTTCGACTCCTTTCAAATCCTCGTTCAAATCTTCAGATTTGAACTCAAACCTCGAATGTCCAAATCAAATCGATTTGATTTGAAGTGCTGAAACCTTATTCAAATCAAACCGGCAGATTTGATTAGGCGGATGCAAATTATATTTGAGATTTGAATAATACCATCACTAGATAGAACATAGCGTCACTTTGAAGAACCAGGAGTGCACCTACCGCGCACTTGCCGACTCCATATGCCACGTTGAAGACGTACTGCAGCCCGCCCGCCGACGAAATGTTTACGATCAGTCCAGTCCTGAAAAAAAGAAGCAAATCTAGGCTGAATTTTAGCGGAATCCCAGAATAACTAAAAAGTACAGCGAAGTGCAAAAATTTTGTCTTTTTTCCAAACACTCATACTATAAATAAGCAGCCCTAGTTGATCTCACTGTGTGTGCCAATTTTTGGAATAAAAGTTCCCCAAAACCAGCCGAAACACCAACTTCCGCTTGACCATCATCCGCGCCGCGTACACGGCGCACACATAGTTATTTCGAAGGCCGACGCTGTTCACCGAATCCCAGAACTCGGGCTCCAGCTCGAAAAACGGGGCCCCGCTCGCCTTGCGGAAGTCCTGCAATAGGGGGTCTGGTATCGCACAAATAACCGTAACACGATGAACTGCTAAAAAAACTATTGATTACATGCCGGCAGAAACATCGAGCGAATTCGGGTGCTGGTCTGTTAGCGGGGGGATTATCAGGGTGGAACACCCATTTCCGTTTTTCTACCTATACCTGCCTGTCGGTCCTACAAAATGTGTTTTTATCATCTTTTTAGTAGGTTTTCATTGCTAGAAAGTAATAAAAAAATTTTAGTTTTGAAAAATTCAAACATTTTTACCTTTTTGATCATTTTCATACATTTTTCATCAAAAAGTCAAAGATTTTCGAAAATTTATTTTAGTTTTTCGATTGTTTTTATATCTAAAAACTATGTAAAATACCATAAAAATGACTTATATTTTGTTATGGGACCGTAGAGAATCACAGGGGAATATTTGGTTTCTCCTTCGCTCAAAATCCCCCCCCCCGCTAACAGTTTAGATCCGTTTAATGGACGGTTCGATTTGCTAACGCTGTCCTGCCCGGCTTATTTTCGTACTTTGACGCTCAAAATGCCGAAATTGAAATGTCGACATTTCTAACAAAAGATTTTGCATAAAATTTTGATTTGTTCCGTGCAGCACCGGCATTTCCACAAATAAACTCTGCTAGCCTGCCCCTAACGCGCCGGATACCTGAACCTGAAAGGCCCGTAAAGCCCACACCTGAATGGCCGAGTAGGCATTGTTCACCAGAATGTCCAGACAGCCGGCCGTCTCATTTTCGATCTGATCGAACAGCCTGGAAACCGGACAATAACGATTAACTCAAGTGGATACCTTTTGATGTCGTCATCATTGCTGTGGTCACAGTAGACGACCACTGCCTTGCCGCCACGGTCTTGGATATCTGAAGGCAGGCTAGCAGGGTGAATTTGGGGACTGGGAATCAATGCTAGCGCTCTCCCTCTCTCTCTCTCTCTCTCTCGCTCTATCTCTCTCTCTGTCTCTCTCGCTCTCTCGTTCGCGTTCTCTCTCTCTCTCCCTCTCTCTCTCTCTCGCTGTCTCTTTATCTTTCTCTTTCTCTGAGGCTTTTGGCTCGATTTTCTGACTTTCATACGCTTGCGAACTGATAGAAAGAGCGAGAGAGATAGAGAGAGAGAGAGAGAGAGAGAGAGAGAGAGAGAGAGAGAGCGAAAGAGAAAGGGAGAACGATACAGAGATATGAGAGTAGACTAGCAGTGATCCCTTGGGAAGCCCCGCCCACCTCGAGCAGTCTGCTGAAGCGCAGGCAGCGTCGTTTCCACGGTTGTGTCACTTTTGGCCGGCTCCCGCCCGGTGATGTATACGGTAGCGCCGGCTTGCGCCAGCTGGAGGGCGATGCCTACGTTTTCGATATTACATCCAAGTGATATGCTTTTAAAGGAGCTAGGAACCCATGGCCCCAATGGACCCTCCGATCGACTGGGCATCGACAGATACGCGGCATTACCATCAATTTGAATGGATAAAGCTTGGGCAGAATTTTTACCCCTTCCAATGCCACGGCTGGCGCCGGTCACCAACGCGTATTGCCCTGCCAAGGGAAGTGTCATTTGGACGGTAGTGTAGGCGAAAGCTATGAAAAACACGTGAAAATACAGATAGGAAACTGAAAAATCTTCAGAAAGAAATGGGAGATAGAGAGAGAGAGAGAGAGAGAGAGAGAGAGAGCGGTGGAGAAAACTGCGTGAACGTTCCTCAGAACAAATCGGACAAACTCTGCTTCGCCTTTTATATACAAAAAAAGTAAGTGATGCAATTAACTTTTCAGAATACCCCGGAAAGTCCTGGAAACGGAGAAAACACGTAAAAAAAAAACGAAAAAACGCTGACAATCGGGGCTGGGAGGCAATCTTTGCGCTGTTGTTATGCCCGTTTTTCCGGGCCATTTTTGCAAGGGAGAAGGTGGAGTGGAGAGGGCGCAGAGAAGACGATACTGAGCCGGGAAACAGATAAAAACTCTAGCCCCGTAGTCCCATGTGACAACCGTTTCCCGAAATTTTCGCAAATTTTTATCAACGCTCTGCCGATGGTCTAGATTTTACCAAATTTTGGAGGTGTCTCATCCCCCCCCGATAATGCGAAAGCACCAAAGAGAATTTGCGTACTGGAGCGTTAGCGGGAGGAACCACTGTGTCTTTTCCAGCTACGCCAACCTGTTGATAGTATATAACGTCTTTTCACAAGAAAGCTTCAACGCTTCAACATATTCAAAATAAATTCGTTTATTGGAGGGCGACACCCGAAATGGGAAGCGTTCGAAAAATCGTGCTATTCGACGACAATGTTGACGGGGTAGCGAAGCGGGGTCGTCTGGTGGAACGCTTCGGCATCGAACGGCTTGCCCGGCTCGGTGGGCAACACGTCGACGGCGAGACGGCAATTCCCGGGAGACACCGGCAGCGACAGGTCAATCTGAACGAAACGAGATTTTAAATGTTTCCGTAAAATTATTTCCTTTTCTGGAACGCATCTACAAAACTCCAAGCCGAAAACTCTAAAAAAAAGCCGGCCTCACCTCGCCACTTCGCCCGGCTTCCACAATCCCGTGGGTTGGCGACGTCGAGAGGCCCGGGCTGTTGTTCACTGAAAAAAGACCATAAATCCCCACTCCTTCTCGTGTTCCAAATTCTACAGCCAAAAAGGCCGGAGCTATTGATGTTTGGGGGGGCATCTTTTTTTGGGGGCTTTTTCTGGCCTAAGCTTGTCTCAAAGCCTAAGCTAACCAAGCCAAGCCCAGCCTAAGCCAAACCTAAGCCGAGCCTAGGCTTAAGCCCAAGTCTAAGCTAATCCTAAGCTAGCTCTAGGCTAAGTCTAAGCCAAGGCTAGGCGAAACCTAATGTAAGCCTACACTAAGCCTAAGCTAAGCCAAAACCAAGCATAGGCCTAAGCTAAGCTTAAGCCTAAGCCAAGCGTAGGCATAAGCTAAGTCTAAGCCAAGGGTACGCAAAGTTAAAGCTAAGCCTAAGCTTCGACCCAGGCCACCAAAAAAAAATGCCCCCCCAAACATCAATAGCTCCAAAAGGCCTACCTTTCACTTTATACATCACCGGCACGTTGAGCGTATTGAAGATGCGGATAATGTGGGGCGACGGGTGAAAATTGTTGACGCGAATCTAAGAAATCTTGCTGGCGCTAAAAAACACCAAAAACCTGCAGACGCTCCTGGAGCACAATCTGGTTGATGACAATATCGTGGACACGGGGCTGATAGCGCTCGTAGATGGAGTCGCCCCATGGACCAGCCGTCTAAAGGATACGAATAGACTCGGCAACGCTCAAAAAACCCGCCTGAATGCCCAGCGAGCTGCATTCGTCGTCGTCGGCGCGTGTCGGCCGCTGGTAGTAGCCGTCCTGGCGGAGGTCGGCCATATGACCGCCAAAGTCTTTCAACGAGACGGCCGAGCCCGAAATATCCGGCGGGTGGGAGAACTACATATAGAATTCATGGAATAGCAAAAGACAAAATTACGATCTTGGCGCTCTCGACGGCGCTGCACCGATCGGCCGTCGACAGCGTGATCTCGCGCGTGTCCCGGTCAACGACAGAGTCGGAAGGGCGGGGGGCAACCGGTTGACGGGTCTGGATATTATGATTACAGAAAACCCAAAGCAGGCTACCGATGGCGATGGCTGAGCAGCGAGTTCGGCACGTTCGTCACGCTGATCGAGCTCACGCAGCCGCAGCGAGATGTAGAAGAGCAGGGGGCAGAGGTGGATCTGGAAAGGAATTCGGTGATGGCACACGCCATGAAAAAAACGGGTACTGGACCGTTAGCAGGGGGAGGGGGAAAATTTCGAAACTTTCGATCTTTGTTGGTCATTTTACATACACTTTTGACCAAACATCAAAAAATTTCGTGCATTTCTAGAAGTTTCCCCTGCTAACAGTCCAGTACCAAACAAAAACGCACCGCCTGAACCAGATAATAGCCGAGAATGTGCCCGAGAAGGGGGTTCGCTGCGAAGAACAACGCCTTGCCAGCCCAGCACCATTGGATCAACTTCTAAAAAAGATAAAGTATTTGCAAGCCGTTGCTTGGTACCCTGATCGACGGATGGTGCAGATGCTTGACGGCCCGTAGGGTGAGTAGAATCGAAGGGACGATTGTGATCAACTAAAATAAAGTCAAAACACGACTCGGGGCTCGCTGTTTTAACGCAGGTCCAATAGTCTTCGAAATTTCGAACCTCGCAGCACTGCCTAGCGTAGACGCCGAAGCTCAAGTAGAACGAGATGGCCGCCACGGCGGCGCCGACGCACGCCCATTCGCGCACTGCAGCTCCGCAAATGATCGCCGGCTTCAGAAGCCCTACCGTTGGCCGGCGGGTCGAGAAGCGCGTTCATAAGCGGAAGCAATAAGCCGAATTACGTTTGGAGAAGGTAGGAAATAAGCGGCGTATCTTTTTTTTCATTTGAGGCGCTTTCTAGTTTCTGTAAAGTTGGTATGTAAATTTTTTCAATATTTATTTTATGCGGTTTTTGTTGTTTTTTGGAAGGTCGGATGGGAAGCCCCTCCCCGGGGTTGCCCGTCGTCCTGTGCCCTTTCCACCGTATCCCATGGCTTGCCCCTGGCCCCGCAGCGCCCGGCCGCCGCAGGATTTTCTCCCCCAAATTCCACCCCACTTGTCAGTCTGTTTTCTTCTCGCTTTTTTGCTGCTCCTTTCGTTTCCATATGCTTTGACACATTTATTGCCGTAGCGCAATCAGAATAACGCTTTCCTGAAACTAAATCCCTGCAAAATCTGCTGTGTCCTATTGATCACGCACTTTTCTTTCAAGATATTTCGGTTTTCAGCGCAGAAATTACGATTCTCTAGGATCTTTACCACCCCATTCGAAACTCTAAATTGGCCGACACTTGCGGTAATTCTCTTGTTATCCCGGCTCCAATTATCCCTAGCTTTCATTTTCGATTTTTTCGTTTTCCGCAAGCATCGTTCTCTAATTAATTTGCTGTTTTCAGGTAAACTCAGCACCGAGCAATGGCCCCGAAAGCAGCTGAAGCCCCCGCCGCGGCCCCCGTCAAGAAGCAGGTGAGTAGGAAAGCTCTGGAGCCAGACCGAGATGGGTAGTGCCCGCTTTGGGCTTACCCGGAGTCTGTGCCGAGAAGGAGTTGCTCCTACTCGGTCCATGGACTCGCCGGTTGTCGGTACGCGGTTACCACCCTGCTTGACCAGCTTAATTCTTTCTTTTTAGAAGAAGAATGCCGAGAACATCAACTCGCGCCTCACGATGGTGATGAAGTCTGGAAAGTACGTGCTCGGCCACAAGGAGACTCTCAAGAACCTGCGCAACGGCAAGGCCCAGCTCATCCTGATCGCCAACAACACCCCGCCACTCAGGTATCGTTTGGATTTGATGCCCTTTCCTGGTTTTGCGCATTTGCCGTTCAAAAAATGGCAGACCTATTGATGTTGGGAGCACCAAACCCACATTGATTGTATCAAAACTGGTGTTTGTGCGATGTTGTCTTGGATAGTTTTGCGTGCTGGTTCCGAAAAACACCATACCAGCTTCAGAAACCTTACGTTTTCGCATACAAAATTCGGAAAGAGCGCGCAAAATTAGTTTTATGTATTCTGTTGCTAACTATTTCTTTTCAGGCGCTCGGAGATCGAGTACTACGCGATGTTGGCGAAGACCGGCGTGCACCACTACAACGGAAACAACATCGAGCTGGGCACCGCCTGCGGCAAGCTCTTCCGCGTCGCCACCCTCGCCATCACTGATCCAGGAGATTCCGACATCATCCGCAGCATGCCGACGGAGGGCCAATAAGCGTAACCACATTGTTATTGTTTTGTTGGTAATAAAGTTCTTTGCCGATTTTGCGGGCGAATGTTTTACGCAGAACACCCGAGTATGTATTGCAAAAGTCGTCGCGGCTGTACGGGAGTATTGGGATCAGAGTTGCCCTCAACCCGCTCATTTTTCTGGATGCATTCAACAGCGCACTTCGCGAATTGAGATAATTTATTCGAATAGTATTATAGCCAGCTTTCCATACCCATTTGGTTACCCGTCGATCGCCTTCTACCTCGCGCTCATTCTGGATCTCCCTCGCTTTCGGAATCGCTAAAAAAATCGTTGAGGGATCGAAGCGCTCACTCACGAATAATCGGCATATTGAAGTAAACTTGGAACGGCCGGCTTCTGATTCTTAGCCTGTAATTGCTTTCAAAAGAACGGAACCTGGCCATACCTCTCCGGAAGCTCCTTTCGCAACCACCATCTCTTCTTTCGGGACCTTGGCTGCGCGCACCGGCTCGCTGCTGGTTTCACTAAAGCGCCTAATTCGCCGGGAAAATTGACATACCTCTTTCTTTTGATCAACGAGCTGACTAGCTTGGCTTGCTGGTTGACGGCGGGTTTCGCGGCGGGCGGTGGTGGCCGCAGCAGCACGGGCTCGACGGCCGGAATCACATTATTGGCCAAGGCGGCAAGCATTTCTTTCTCCTCCTAAAACGCGTCAACGTCTTGCGGAAGGCACGAACCTGCTTCCGTCGTCTTGCTTCGTCCAACTTCCTCTGATCCACCTGCGCCAAGAATTCGGATTCATCCTCGTCGACGCCGCGTATCATGTTCCCTAAACCATATTAGTGAAGATCATCTAAAGCCATACGCATTGCGCGAGCCTCGTCAAATTCGGCTTGTTTCTTGTCGCGGTTGTCTTTCAGCTGCTCGAAGAGGGACTTGTTGCATGCTTCAGGCTCCGGGACCACTGCAATTTCATTAATTTGCTGCCAAATACGTAAACCCCCCATAAAAACGACCAAAAACTTACACATAGGCTCGTCGGGCTTGCGCACCTTCTCCCATTCGGCTTGGCGGTCTTCGCGTTCTTTTTCAATGTCGTTTTGCGAGACAAATCCGCTCGACATTTTGAGCTACAAAAAAATGTTTAGAATTGAATCGGAATTGTGATAGAAAACGAGAAGGTTAGATTTTCTGAATTTGAAGCCTCGAAAACGCCGGGGCTCGCAAGGTTTTGGCTACAAACTACACCTCTGGCCATCTGCGGGATGGATCGCGTAATTTATTTAATTTTTGAAAATACAAGATTGAATATCTATAGCGGTTTTTATACAAGCTTTGAAGTGAAAATGCTTCGAGCATAATATGGATTTTGCGGGGTGCTTTTTCATTGCCCTCTCCATGCTCTTTACTTGTTTGTCGCTGCTCTAGTGGCCAGTTTCTAATTCTATTGATATTTTTTTCTTTTCTGCCTAAACCTTCCTTTCCAGGCTCATCAATGGAGCACTACGTGCCCTCTGAATTGGACGCCTCAACGCTGGACGCGCCGAACCCGTTCCCCGAGCCCTACCAGACGGCCCGCGTCATGGAGCTGAAGCCGAACACGAGAATTGGGAATTTTGTCGACTACTCGCTGAAGCAGCTCGAGCAGGAGCCATTGCTTCTCTTCAAGGTATCAAAGTTCTTTTATTTCTGAGCAATTCGGAAGTTTTAGCAGTTCTTTAGTACGGGGGTTACCAGGGTTTTTAATTAGGTTTGATAGCTTCGGATTTTGGTTTTTAATATAAGTGGAGGAAGAGTTTCTAGATAATTACCTGCTATTCATAGGCCTCAGAATTTTAAAGATTTTCATTACAAACTCCAAAAAAAATTGGTTGATACCATAATATCAGCACTTTCCAAGTTTTCGGTTGTTTTTCACTTTAAATGTATCTAGTTTCGACAAAAAAAAATACTATTAAGCCACTTTCTATGAAGAATGTCCGGGCGTATAGGAAAAGATTAAAATCTTTTTGTTCCGGATTTTGCGTCATATAACGGTTTTTTTTCAGGGAGCCGGCGACTCGGCCGAGAAAGCGGTGGCCTGTGTGGAGGTGCTGAAGCGGCGCACCCAACGACGGCTCTACCAATGGAATGCCCTCGGATACGGCACGAAGACCACCTACTGGGACCCGACGATCGACGGGCTCGACCGATTACGCGTCAGAATCGATGAGAGAGTGATGTTCATCCTCGTCTCCACCCAACCCTTCCCGCCCGAGCACCAATGTCTCAGCATGCAGTCTTCCGATGAGCCCACGTCGGCTTTTGCCACCGTGTCAGAAGATATTGTGGGTTTTTTTTGAGCTTGTGGTCTTGGAGCTTTCGCGTTATCGGGGGGTGGGGGAACTTTTTCCTTTGGATTCAATTTTTCGCGTTTAGAAAAGTTCGACACCAGACTGTTTCTAATGAGTTGCTAAGCTGTTCTTAATATTCGCAAAGCAAAAAGGACTTTTGATAGCCAGAAATTTTCTTTTCGACTAAAATGTCAACTTTTCAACAAAATTTTGCCACGTTTTTTGATGTGTTTTTTTGCACTTAGCACTTTTTTTGCTACATCGTTACTAGGCATTTCTGGGTTTATCGAAATTTCAGTCCTCCGTTTCACTCCCTCGATAATGCGAAAGAACCGTAACTTTTCATTCCTGGGTATTAGGGATTTTGATTAATACGAAAAACGCACATGAAAACGTCGACGATGCTGACCATTTCCATTTTTTGAAAAAGTTCGAAAGAGGTATGAAACTCGAGATATGCCAGCTTAAATGGTACTGGACGGTTAGCAGGGGGCCTGTTAATAATAAATAGTGTATTTTCATAACTTTTTGGCATTTTTGTTTGATGGAAACTGATAAACTGATACAAAGTATTTGCAACATTTTCAAAATTTTCGAATGTTTTTGGTTTGGCTTCTTTAAAAACTTGGATTTGGTTTTGTCTTTGGTATTTTGAGAATTTTGACCAAAAATTCAAAAATTTCGAACATATTTATGGACTTTTTTATAACGAAAACTGCTTAAAATGCTATGAAACTGGTTTGTAGTTTGTTATAGGGTCGTGGAGGCTTACTGAGGAAAATCAGTTTCCCCTGCTAACAGCCCAGTACCTTAAAAATTTCGGCTGACGTGTAAAACTCGTGATATCCAGGCTTATATCGGCAAATTTCGAATATTTTTGTGGGTTTTTGAAATCGGCATTCCTAATTAGGGTATCGTTTTTTCTTATAAAACCTTCCTAATCCATCTCTTTTCAGCCCGCCAAGCCGAAGCTCACCCGGAAGAAGGGGCGCTCGCAGTGGGAGTCGAACAAGCGCGCCCAGCCGAAGAACGTGCAGCATTTCCCGTACGAGGACGAGGTGAAGCGGTTGCGGGCCAGCGAACAAGAAAGTAAGGCGGCGGGCGCGGCGCCCGGATAAATATGTTATTCTATGTCACTCCTTGTAAACGTTCTACACCTTTATCCTGCACATTGCATGGCGTAAGCGGTTCCGTACAGCACACGATCCAAGGGGGGTGGCTACCAGTATTTTCGGGGGGTCGTTTCTCGTGATTTGAAGTTGGATAAGTTAGATTATGGAAGAGATCGAAGAGCGGAATTGAAGATTTTGGGGATAGATATAGATTTCAGGGAGAGAGTAAAATACATCGCCTCGTTACTCGTCGTCCATCTTGTGCAGCGGCTTGTGGATGCTCAGCTGGTCGTAGGCGGGCGGGGCGCCCTCGGACGGTGGCGCCTTGAAGCTGTCGTTTGGCAGCTGAAAATTGGAAATTTTGGAAGGGTTTTTCTAGCCAACCTTGGCGACGACGGCGTACGGTGGAGCCGTGCCGGCGCCCGGCGCGTCACGACGACCCCAGCAAGTGTGCCACTGCAGCATTGCCTGAAAGCCGACGTAAAGGCAAAGCGATTATTGAAGCGATGTAAAAATCGGCCACGCAATCGACGGATCGACGCCGCGCATCATGCACGACTTACCCGCTCAAATGCGTCAATCGTCTCCCGGCGGCGCTGGATCAACGACAGCAACAACGACACCGCCGCCATGATGATCAGGATGCACAGGGAGAAGATGGCGATCTGCAGGTTTTTTACATAAGAAAAACGATAAGACGAATAAAGTTTTTTTGTTGAATTTAGCGCACAAATCGGTAATGGAGTGTTAGCGGGGGAGAGGGGGCTGATTCTGGTTATTTTTTTGCCTGTAGATAAATGTTAATAATAACGTGTTTTTGTAGTGTTTTTAAAAGCTTTTCGTCGCCAGAAGACTACAAAAATTAAATTTAAACATTTTTGATAATTCGAAAATTCCCGAAATTTTTTAGTGAAGCTTGATTCTTTTTGAACAAAAAGTCAACAGGTTTCGAAATGATAGCTTTTCATTGCGAGAAAGTTACAGAAATATTTTCACATTCTTGCCCAAATTTGGAAAATGTTAAAAAGAATTAGTTGTAAGTTAAAGCTTTTGACATATAAACTGTGAAAAATTCTATAAAAAAGCCTTTTTTACGATAGGCGCTGCAAGATTACGGAGAAAAATTAGTTTCCCCTGCTCCCCCCCGGTAACAAACCAGTACCGGCAGATAAACTAAAAACCTACCTGCAAATAGGTCGATGTCCTGGAGTGGGTGTAGTAAGGCGCGTCGTCTGTAAATCAGCATTTTATTATGGTTTTTTTGGAATATATTCGACGATTGGGTCTATATCTTCACGCCACACCAAATGACGCAGCAGCGGAACGACAACGATCAGCATGCTTATGGGTGCTTTTAAAGCGGGATTGACGGCAGTTTAGTGCGCGTAGCGGATGCGTTGCGTAGCGGCGCCGCCGGAAAGTAGCGAAATGCAGGCGGCTCCTCACGAAACCTCTGTTTAAAAGGGTCGGCAAGGCATGACTATGTATTTTTTGGGTGCAGCTGCTCTCCGAATGGCCGAACTGCGATAAATAATAGCTCCCGAATGTACCTTCAACCTCTTGCGGCATGACGTACAGTAGCTCTCGAATAGGCCACGCACCCTCGGCCACCTCGTCGCTGCCGTCGTCGTGCACCGGCTGCACGTCTAGAATCGCTCGCCCGGCCGCGTTGACGTTTCCGACGGGTCGCCCTGCAGACGCAACACAACAATTGACGCACACCACGTAATTTGGCATGCAGCGGAATGGTCAAAAACGGCTTGCCAGGTTACCAACCTGTTCGCGGGAAATCGACGTGTTGCCGTTGCAGGGGGCGCTCGTAGTCGTCGTCCTAAAAAACGTCAAAATTTTTAAGTAAAGGGGTAAGCTGTCAGGGATTTTTGGGGAGCGGCAAAGCTTTAAGACAAGCCGGACTAGACGAGGTATTTTTCCTGTGAATTTTTCAGCTTTAGGATTGCCGAATCGCGGTCCTCACTAACTCCGCTCTGCGGGTCGCCTTTCTGACTGCTCAACACCTTTAAAGACCTCCAGTACCATGGGATCCACCCCTCCTATAGACTTGGTCTAGGCAGGCGCTCCAAACGACACATGGAAATACTCGCATTTGGCATCAATGCTCCATCAGGTTTTCCAGTAAAAAACTAGAGCGAGGAGTATACGCGTGTTTTAGAGTGTCGCGTAGCTGTCGACCTAGTGGATGGAAGAGGCAGATCCTCTCGCTTCCCGCCCCTTTAGAGGATAGCAATCTTAGGACTTACGATGTCATGTCCAGGATCCTGCATTGAGAAAAGAGGTCTGGGCTTGAAGCCGGCCCGCTGGAGCATCGCGTCCATTTGCTCGCGCATTTCTTGGGTCTTTCTGAAAATGGAAAGACTCAAGTCGTTCGATCACACTTTCCTGTTTGCCATCTCTCTCTCTCTCTCTCTCTCTCTCTCTCTCTCTCTCGCTCCAACCCACCGCATCCAATATTTCGCAAAGTCGGACGGCTCCGCGCGCCCCAACATGGCTCCATCAAGATGATCTTCATCCTGAAATCGTTCGGTAAAATCTGCGAATTTTCGAAACACCAACATTTTTTCGCACCAATCAAGCACATACCTCATCGACGTCCTGCTCCAAGCCAAGCGGCTTCATTGGCGCCGTGTCCGAATCGAGTTTTCCGGTGTACCGCGTGTACTTGATGACCGGCTTGTCGCCCGACTTCTTCAGGTCGACCGTCATCTCAAGAAATTCACCGGTTTTCCGAGAAGATTTTGGTAGAGAAAGAGAGACAGAGAGACAGGGAGAGAGACAGAGATAAAGAGAGAGAGAGAGAGAGAGAGAGAGAGAGAGAGAGAGAGAGCGAGAGAGTGAGAGAGTGACAACCCACCAAAATCCTGGTCGTCTTCGGCAGCTGGCATGCAAAATGGCACCCATCCGCCTGTGCTTCTTCGGTTTTCGGCTCAAAAGCAGCATCGCAGCCTCGGTGGCATTTTATGAAAAATTCGGGGAACCCCTCGGTGCTGAGGTTCCCGCGTAACTCGCAACCTGTCCGGCAGCCAGAGCCCTAAAAACACTTTTAAGAGGCGCTAGGAAGCGGGAGAATCGATCCCTTCCAACCGACTAGGTCTCGACGAGTTACGCGGCAGTCCTAGTGACGGAGCACGGGCTGCACTTTTTCAAGCCGATCCTCATCACAATTCACACATTTAGAGTGCCACGTAGCTGTCTAGACCCAGTCGGTGCATGGGGCCGATTCTCACACTGCTTGGTCTTTTAAAGGGACCGACCAACACAAAAATTACCGTATCGTCACCCGGTTTCGGGCAGCTGTCGATACAGTCCGAGCGGTCGTCGGCTGTTGAAATCGCTGCTAGGGTCGCCAAAAGCGCCCAGAGCAGCATCTAGGAAATTAGCGTAATTTTTCTAGGAAGCGAAAGTCGGTAGAAAATGTGTAGAAAAAAGGTGGGCAAAGATTTTTAGCGCTCCCCCTCTCTCTCTCTCTCTCTCTCTCTCTCTCTCTCTTTCTCTCTCTCTCTTTTTCTCTCTCTGTCCCTCACTCTTTTTCTCACAGGTACTCTATCTTTCTCTCTCCTTCTCGCGCTGTCTCTCGCTTTCTATCTCTATCTCTCTGTCTCTTTTGCGCTCTCTCTATCTCTTGCTTGCGCTCTCCCTCACGCAATCTCCTTTTCTCTCTCGTTCTCCGGTTCTCTCTCTCGCTCTCTCTCTCGCTCTCTCTCTCGCCCTGTCTCTCTCTCTCTCTTCCGAATGTAGCATTGTAACCTAAACATTTTCAAAATGCAGAAGCTCAGAATCAATTCCAAGCCGTTCACCTGAAATTGGCAAAAAAGCATTTTTAAGCCTTTGTTAAGGTGACAGTTTTCAATATGATTTGCAAACAAAAAAAACAGAACAAAAAAGACTTTGCAAAACGCGTGAAACGCGTGAAAACACGAGCCAAATAAAAGTGTCCGGCGGTGTGTTGGACTAGATGGGGGGCGGGCGGATCGATGTTGTGCAGCACCGAGCGCCCGAAGGGATATGGAGAGAGAGAGAGAGAGAGAGAGAGAGAGAGAGAGAGACTCTTGCGCTCGACGTCCAAATACGGGAATTATTACCCCCGATCCCCCCGGTTTCCACGCGAAATTACCATAGGTCGATGGAGTCTGTGCCGTCAGCTGGGGAATTTCGGCAGCCAAAACCGATTTTGGGGTGGTGGGAAAGTGTTGAAACCATAAATGAAAAATTCACTAATGTCCAAAATAAACGAAAAACGTATTTTAAAGGAACCGTCAAGGCTAAAATCTGGCGCTTTGCCGCCTAGCCGATACCGCTACGGTAGAAGCCTTTCAAACACAAATTATGCAACAAACTACGCTAAAATAGAGCTAAAAAACCAATTTTTTTGATAACTCCAGCGAGGTTTGTTAGCTAAATTAAAGTTTTATAGGAAAAAAGCGTGGTAGGGTTTCTTTAAAGCTTTCAGAAAGTGCCGAATCGACCTTCCAAGGGCTTGGTCTCGACAGCTCGACGATATTCCAATTTACGAGCATGGCGAAAATTCGACCCGTTAGCACGCTTCATTTGGAGCTGCATGTGGCTGTCGAGACCTAGCCAAAGATAAGGGGTCGTCTATGGCGCTTCCTAGACCCTTTAAAAACTGGCGACATAGGATTTTTTTTTTGAGAGGCTGAGAGGTCCCACATAGCGTGTTCTAAAAGCACCTGAAAATCTTCAGAAGACTTTTTCGGGCGTCATTTGGAGCGCCGCGTAGTTGTCGCGTAGTCGTCTAGACACAGCCGGCGGAACAGGCTGGATCGCGTGGCTTCCTAGTCCCTTAAAAACCATGCACTAAGTTTGTTAAAATCTTTCTAAAAATTCCTTACAAATAAAAAGGCCAAATTGCCGAAAAGCCCTCTGCTCGATTGCCCGACTGACACTTCCAGAAACAATGGCGCTTTCAAGTCTCTTCAAAAAAAAACGTCCTCGAGGTCAACCTTTTAAAGGGACTAGCAAGTTTAAAACTTTTCATAATTCTAGTAGTTTACAAGATTCCCTCAAATCTAAGGGAAACCCAAAAAAGCCGGTCAACCTGCCCAAACGGCCTCTGCTAGCCCTACGACAAGCATTAACGTTTCTGGCCGTACTTTGTTATCGTTCCCACCACTCAAACGCCCCGGCCCGGTGCCAAGAGTACGAGGCGCTGCTCGGTACACCCTGTCTGTGTGCACTCTTTGTGGGGGCGCCCTCCCAGGTTTGCGCCGGCATGTGAGCCTCCCCTCTCTCCTCACAAGCTGAAACAACAAACAATCCAGCAGAGATCTGCCCAGCTTTTTTCGGTGGAGTCTCTTTTTTTGCTAATTTCCAGGCGCCCGGCTGTAAATTGGTGTTTCGGCGTTTTGATGCTATTTTAAACTAGCGGGAATGAGTTATAAATTCAGAAAAGTTTGGGTTAACTTGATCTTGCGTTTTTTGTTATAATCTTTTTAGGTTTAAATATCTAGAGAATAAGTCAAGCCATGTCTCTTTTTTTTTGAATACCCTGTCCCGCGATGATTGAATTTTCTAGCGTTTTGCCGCTTATTTCAACGCCTTTGCTTTCAAACGTTTACTCTTTGCCGGTCTAGCTGTTTTGTATAATCATCATACTTATTTTCAAATGAAGCTCAGAAAAGCATAGCAGACATATTCGTTGTTTTGAATTGAAACTTAACTCACCGAGTAATCAGCGGTTCCCGGCTTCACTTGTGAAAAAGTCTTTGAATTTCTGCTGTTTAACCTTTTTGAGGGTACCTTACTTGACCCAAAAGGCGCATAGAACCGCGCCGAATCAATTATGCTATGTTGCCTTGTTGTCTGCAAAAGTTTTCCTGTTTTTTTTTTGTTTACTGGCCAGCTTACCAATGTCGATTTTTCGAGCGTAGAAAACTTGTTTTCTAGGATCGAATTTTTGAAAACTCCACGTGAAACTTTAGCGCGGTATCCCGAAAACGTCTCCTATCTATTAAAAATTTTCCTGGTCCACCTAGCATTCTTTTTGCAAGAATAATTTCACAAAATCTACTCGTTAAACAGGATTTTAGCCGCGATACCGGCAAAAATTGCTAAGTCAACTGGAATTTTACATTTTCACGGTTTTCTTAATGCTTTGCAGATATCTGCTCTTTTTCCCGTCATCACCTGTTTTAAGTTGCACGCATTCAAAATTCTAACTCAAAACCAGCCCAAAAATTTACGCCAATTTTTAGACCCTATGCGCCGTCACTAACCCGAGGTGCGCCGAATCCCCCGAAAATTCTCGAAATCCCAGAAATGTCCGAGACGGGCGATGAGCAGGAGGTGGGCAGGATTGGGTTTTTTTTGAAGATTTTGAAAATCTAGGTCTCACTCGCCACCGCCGGCCAGCCCCATCCGTCGTCGGCCCGCGGTCCCAGCAGACAGGTGAGAGAGTTAATGGATCAATACGCCGCGATACGCAACGCGTACCCAATTTATCACAGCGTAATCGATTAGGCCAGCTATACCTCGCCGAAGCGTTGCGTGTCGCGGTTGCGGCAAAAAAATATGGGAATAAGAAATAGAAAAAAATAGCGAGTTCGGTGCGGTGGGGCAAACAAATTTTCCCCAGTAATCCTGTGCGGTCCTAGTACAAATCAAAATCGTTTTATAGCATATTACACAGTTTTTAGGAATGAAAGCTAATAAAAGTTCTAAAGATTTTCGAAAATTCTTGCCTTTTGGGCAAAAAATGTATGAAAAGTGGCCAAAAAACTCAAAAGGGTCAAAAGCACGATATTTTTTGGTGGTTTTGGCTGGGTTCCTGGTATCCAAAAGTCCTAAACACGCTTAAAAAAATTTTCTAAAAAATCCTTTTTTTCAGCCGCCCTCCCCGGTGCCGGAGAAGCGGGTGAGCCCGGCGAGTCGACGCCTGCAGGTGGTGCTCGTCATCGATTTAAAGGTATCTAGGGCCTCACCTAGCGCCTATATATCACTATATTAGGTCCAAAAACATGTCCGCCAACGTGAACTCGCCGCCAACGACGTGCAAAAGGTCACCGACCAGCTGAACGTCCATCTGACGGTTCGTTTTCAAGGCGATTATAAAAAATCAGTCTCGTTTTAGCGAATCGAGTTCGACCGGCTGGACTTTGGCGAGACGAACACGCTCGACACGTTCTACAATGCGGATGTGGCGCTCGTTGACGTGTCGGTTCCCCAGCAGCAACCATCGCTATGTTATCATATAGGTAGGTGTACAAAATAAAATTTCCTCACGCTTTGACTCTCTCTCTCCCTTTCTCTCTCTCTCTCTCTCTCTCTCTCTCTCTCTCTCTCCCGCTAACTCTCTCACACTTTTGGCTCCATTTTCTATGACTTTTCTTCTAGAATACTTGCTAGCATGCCCCTTGAAAAGAGCGAGAGAGAGAGAGAGAGAGGGGGAGAGCGAGAGAGAGAGAGAGAGAGAGAGAGAGAGAGAGAGAGAGAGAGAGGGAGAGAGTGAGTGAGCCATTCCATTTCCCACCTTCCAGGCGTTCGCCAGAGCATGGGCCAGCGGTACAACATCATGCTCACCCTGCTCAGCGAGGAGTCCGACGGGAAAATCGAGACGCTGAAGCGAACACTTGAGCACCGCATCCTCGTCTATTTCACGACAGCCGACTGTGCGCATCTGATGTCGACGATGCCGGCGGTGAGTAGGCTACGGTCAGCGCTGTCGAGTGAACGCCCTGCTGACGCGTTGCGTGTCAAATTTAACTCGTAGTACGCAATACTGAAAGCTTCAAAAACGTTAGTCATAAATGTTTAAACCGAAATTTTAGGAGCCAAAAGATCGGCAGAACGCAGCTGCGCAACCCGGAAATTTCGGCGACTCGACGGTGTTCGCCTCGAAGGCGGAGTGTATGAAGAATGGGAAGTTGTGTCCGTTCCGGCAGCGGCTCAAGCTGGCGCTCAAGAATGTGCAAGTTGAGGCAAAGTGAGTAATTTCTCTCTAGCTCTCTCTCTCATTTTCTCTCATTCTCATTTTCTCGTTCTCTCTATATCTCTCTCGCTCTCTCTTTCCCTGTCTTTCCGCTCTCGCTCTTTTTCGGTAGCTCGTTCTCGCTCTCTTTCTCTACCGCTCTAGCTGCCTCTCAGTCCCAGTCTCTATATCACTCTCTCTGACTTTCTCTTCGCTCATGCTCACTCACTTTTGTATCTTCCTTTCTGAGTCTCGTTTTCTCTTTCTCTCTCTCTCTCTCTCTCTCTCTCTCTCTCTCTCTCTCTCTCTTCTCTTTGCCCGTTTCACTTTCTTTCTCCTCACCATCAAATTCCAGCGCTCACTCTCGCGAGAAGTTCCTCTCCGATCTGCGCAAAGTCCGTGAGATCACCGACGTCGACGAGGCCAACGACTTTTTGGACAAGATGCGAAGCCGACTCGACAATCCGGATGTCCTAAGTGTCGATACGGTACATCAGCTGCTACTTGGCTACAGGTATGGGCGGCACTTGAAGGGGATCTTGATTTTAGGGACAAACAAAATTACGAGGGCATGATCTCGCTGATCGACGAGCTGAAGAAGGTGCCCGATTGTGCCGTCAACACGGCGCAAGTCATCCGATTCTACTATGCGTTTGCCTTGAATCGGTGGGTTATTTTTGTCTGAAGTCTGTTTTTGTCGGTCTGAAAATTTGGTTGTGTATCTGTAGCTGTACTCTCTTCTCTCTCTCTCTCTCTCTCTCTCTCTCTCTCTCTCTCTCTCTCTCTCTCTCTCTCGCTCTCTCTCGCTCTCTCTCGCTCTCTCTTTCTCTCGCTCTCTCGCTGACATTCCTTATAATTTTCTCTATCTCTCTGTCTCTCGCTATCTCTCTCGCTCTCTATCGCTCTCTCAATTTCTCTGAAATTCTTTAAGATGTTCTCCATCTCTCTCACTATCGCTCGCACTTCATCTCTTGCCCTTTCTCAACCTCACCCTCTTTCTCGCTCTCCCTCTTACTCTCTCTATCTCTTTCTCTGTCTCTCTCTCGCTCACTCTCTATCTCTTGCTCTCTCGCTTACTCTCTATCTTTCGCTCACTCTTTATCTCTTGCTCTCTGTCAACCTCGCTCTCGCTTTCTCTAGCTTTCTCTCGCGCTATCGCGTTCTCTATCTCTCTTTCTCTCTTTACCGCTCTCTCTCTCGCTCTTTCTCTCTCTCTCTTTTTCTCTCTCTGCCGCGCTCTAGGTGGCAATCCAGCAGAGATTTTTGAGGAAGTGTTGCAATCTATAGACCCCCAAAATTTCGTATTTAGCCGCAACAAAAACAAAGACCGAGACAAGGCCCTCGAAACAGTGCTCCTCATCGTCCAAGAGGCGGAGAAAGGGAAGGACGGCAAGGACGGGAAGGTATTTTTCTAAAATTTTTACCCTCTATGAAATAACTCTAGCAAGAGCTGAGCCCGGACATCATCTGCCTGGCCGGCCGCATCTACAAGGACAAATTCATCGCCAGTGGCTATGAGGACAAGTCGAGTCTCGATTCGGCCATTGAATGGTAAAGAATTGGTGCTTTAAAGGGTTGTGAAGTCAGAAAACTCGAGCTTTAAAGGGATGGTGAAACGCGAAAATCGACCCCACAGGCATACTAGGTCTCGACAGCTACGAAATACTCCAAATAAATGACTGCCGGAAATCCAAAAAAAACAATGACACCACGTGTAATTTGGAGCTTCGCGTAGTTGTCTAGACCTAGCGGCTGGCAGGGGTCGATTCTGGCGATTCCAAAACCTTTGATATTTTTCAAAAAACTCGAAAACATTGGTTTTAAAGGGACTAAAAAGTGCCAAAATCGACCACCTGATGCGACTAGGTCTCGACAGCTACGCAAAGCTCCAAATGACACTTTGAAGTGCTGCAGACTCCGGGCTTTGTGAATAGAAAAATAGTTATTGAAACTCGTCATTTGGAGCGTCGCGTAGCTTTCGAGACCTAGTGACTGGCAGAGGTTCACTTTTGCGTTTTCTAATTCCTCTAAAAACTACGATCAATTCCAGGTACCGCAAGGCGTTCGAGCTGTCCGCCCTCGAGTATTCCGGCATCAACCTGGCGACGCTGCTGCGGGCCCGCGGCGAAACATTCGAGAACAACCAGGAGATGTCCCGCATCGGGCTCGTGCTCAACTCGCTGCTCGGCCGAAAGGGCGCTTTACAATCTCTACAGGACTACTGGGACGTGGCGACGTTTTTTGAGGTCAGTTATATCCGCTTAGGGGCTTTGGAAGTCTCAAAATCAACCCCTAACTTCGCCTAAGTCTAGACAGCTACGAAACGCGCCAAATTACGGACGTTTTCGAATTGTAAATTAGTTGTCTAGATCTAGTCGAAAGGATGGGTTGATTAGCTTGCTTCCCGATGGAGATTTTACCTTACACCTGCATCCGCGAAAAAATCGTACATTTAGGTGTCAGTTCTGGCAGAGGACTACTCAAAAGCTTGCCAGGCCGCCCTGAAAATGTCCCAGTTGAAGCCACCAGTTTGGTAAGAAAATTTTGAATTTTTTGGGCTTTTAAGGAGATTGTGAAGTCATGTTTCATTGTTTTTTAAGGTATCTACGCTCGACAATGGAAAATATTAAGCTGATCAACCGATGCGCCGCCCATATGAGTCCGATTGAGAAGGTCGGTTTAAGGAAACGCAAGGCCCTCTTTCTCTCTCTCACTCTCTCTCTCCCTCGTTCTCTCCCTCTCGCTCTATCTCTCTTTCGTCTGTCTCTCTCTCACGCTCTCTCTGTCTCTCTCTCGCTCTCTCGCACACCCTCTCTCGGCGGCTGGCTGTCCCTCTTCAAGCGATCTCTCTCTCCTCTCTCTCTCCCTCCCTCTCTCTCTCTCTCGCTTTTGCTCTCTCTCTCTCTCTTGCTCTCTCTAATCCCCTCTTTTCCAGGACAAACAACAATTCCTCTTCTGGACCGAATTCTTCATGGAGGCCACCGACAGCGAGACGGCCGAAGTCCACTGCGCTCGTTTCCCGGTCCTCATCCAGGAGCTCAAGGTCTGCTGTCACCGTCCCTTTAAGGCAAACCATACCGTAATCGGATCTGCTTCATTATATCGTAATCCGTTCTCTATTGACTGAGGATAATCGACCTCTATGCTCTTATCGTAACCATTTCCCACATTTAAGGAGAACGTTTTTTACGCCCGGTGCTACCCGCACTACAATCGGGTCGGTCTCAAACGGGTTCAATAATTTTGGCAATTTTTTGAGCAAATTTTCCGCTTCTCTCGCCCTTCTTTCTCTACCGGCTTACTCTCGCATTAGTGGGAAGACGTTCCCTACTTTGATTTTTAATTTTGACGGCTAATTTTGGGACTTTTTCTGGGGGTTTTGCCAAAATTCAAATAAAATTTTCAGAAAATTTATTTTTCCAGCAATTCTCGCCCTCGTTCCTGACGATGAACCTCGGCGAGGGGTCGATCATCCTCTCGCACGTCCTCGAAAACTCGCAGCACAAGAAGCCGCCGCCTGGTGAGTAAAACTAATCCTGATAAAATTTGTTAAAAAGCCGAATTTCGGTTGTTCAAAAATTAAAAATGCAGAATTTTGTCTTAAATTTTTAACAAAAGGCTACTGTAATATTGATTTAGAAAAAAGGTCAAACCAGCTGGCCGAGCTGCTCGATCCGCTTTTCGGCGCTCCCTCAAATTCCGCGGGTATCTTGGAGTGCCTCCTTAGTTTTTGACCTGCGCCCACTGTATTTATTATTCTTGCTCTCTCTCACTTTCTTTCTCTCTCTCTATCTCTCCCTCGCTCTCTTTCTCTCTCGCTCGCTCTAGCTCGGCTCTCACTCTCAACTGTCTCGTGCTCTCTCGCTATCTATCTCTCTCACCCTCTCTCGTCTCTCGTCTCTCTCTCTCTCTCTCTCTCTCTCACTAATTCACAATTCTTGCCGTTTCCAACAATTCAAAACATTCCGAAATTTTTTAGAGCAAATCCCGCTGCGGCATTTCCCGTTCGGCAGACCGTTAGACGGTATCGTTGCGTAGCCTGCGCCCAGAATATAATTTATTTGGTTTTTAATAACTTTTTTAACCTCAAGTAATGTCGTGCACGCGCGTTCCAAGCATTCACAATTTTGTCTGTCTGTTAGGTGGATTTAGAAAAATGGAAATTCAGAAAATGCAGTCGAAATTCATAAAAATAGCACAATAAAATGTGTGTTTCAGGCATCCACCGCTGGCACTTCACCGCCCCGAACATCAAGGCCGTGTCGAAGAGCAAGCGGGATGACCGTAGCATGTTTCTCTACGTACACGAGAATTCCGACGATTTCAACCTCGTCTTCCCCTCGGCGCCGCATTGCACCAAGTGGGTTACGGTTTATTAAAGGGAGTATGACCTCTCAGCTTGACGCTCTCACTCTCTCACTCTCTCTCACTCTCTCTCTCGCTCTCTGTCTCTCTCTCACTCTCTCACTCTCATCCTCACTGTTTCTATTTCTCTCACATTTTTTCTCTCTCTCTCTCTCTCTCTCTCTCTCTCTCTCTCTCTCCCCTCTCCCACTATCTCCCTCGCTTTTTCATCGCGTAATCGGTTGGCTGGCTACCAAGTGCGTATATCCCCCATTTTTAGGGTTATCGCTGCCCTCGAAGAAATGATGCAGGGAGCGGACAATATGGGAAAAGTTCTCAACGACATTGACTATGACAAGATGCAGGTTTGTATTGGGCAGGCTAGCAGAGAGAATTTGAGGAAATTTACAAAAATCTGGTTCCACATGACACCAAAAAACTGCATTTTTACTGCTTTTTGCCCTCCGCGAGATTTATTCGGAAATTCCCGGCTTAGGGCTACGGCCGCTACGAGAATATCATAATTTTTAGGGCAGGCTAGCAGCGACAATTTGCGGAATTTTAGCGCGAAAAACATAAAAAAGCAAAAACGCAATTTTCGCCAAAAATTCAGCGTCCTGTAGCTAAACTAAACTTAATTTTTTAAGATGAGCTCGTATACTGTAGCGCTAAACGGGCCTAATATTTCATGGCAGACTAGCAGAGGAAATTTTCGGAAAATGTAATTTAAAGAAAAGCTGAAAATCGCTGCTTGAATCTGTGTTTTTGGCAGTTTTCAGGCAAAAGGATGGGAAAAATTTGCTGTTTTTGCAGGGGGGTACGATAGCCAAAAATCGGCATTAAATTCTACTTTTTTTTGCCCTACTTTTGCTCAGTTTTCCAGGTACAACGATAATTTTTTGGGGCCAGGGCTGGGGGTGTGACCCCTAGCTGAAAAGACCCCCGGCTCTCCCTCTCCGACTCCGCCCCTTGGCCTAGTGGCTAGCACCCCAGCCCCTCGTGCCGCAAGGTCCTGGTTCGACCCCCCGCCGCGGCACTCAAGCGCTCCATTTCCATTCGCCTCGTCCACAACGGGCGTGGCGCTTCAAATGTGAGCAACAGCAACATTGGTGCTATTATCTGGTGGCGACCCCCGCCCATCAGTCGTCCACTTCGTACGGCACCGACAAAACGTTTTCGAGTTTTTTGATTTTTGCTGATTCCGCTAGGATAGCGAAACTTTTTAAAGGGAACCGGAAGAACCTGAAACCGACCCTTTCGATTGCCTAGGTCTCGACAGCTACGCAAGCCAAAAATAAGGGCGTATTCAAATAAAACGCACCTCGTAGATTGCCTCAAAGTGACGTTGCTAGCCTGCACTTATTTATATAAAGTCCCGTGTCTTGGATCCTTACAGTCCTAAGAATCCCAAAGAATCTCTGCTTGCTGGCCAAGCCGTAGGTAATCCATTATGATAGCTAAATCCGTCAATAGAATCCGAAAAATCGTAGAAGTATGGAAGTTAATTACGTCGAACGTATCGAAACGTGCAACCCTGCGTAAAATACGTAGCGTACTTAAAATTCGTAAGAGAACGTAAATGTACGTAGTTTATTTCGCAATGCGTAGCGTACCGGAATTTCCAGAAAACTTATGTAGCTCATCAGAAAAATCACGTTTTTTCAGTTCGAATACGAGACGGACAAGCAGGGGAATCGCGTGAATCTCGGCAGCGGAACATACGGTAATTGAGTAGTGAAAATTTTGCGGATTTCGATAGAACAAAAACAGGAATTTTTTAATTCTACCGTAATCTGTGTAATTTTTAACATGTTAAGCCAGTTTTTACTTCTAACTTTTGTCTTTTTGAATCATTTTCCAAAAAAAAACTCGGAAATTTTTGAAGTACCCTAATCGGCTTTTCAGGTACCGTATACGCGGCCCGCGACCTCACCACGCAACGCCAGATTGTCGTCAAGGAGATCGAAGTGAAATTCGACGAGGAGGTGCGTGGATTCTAGACGTTGCCCTGATTACCGTACCCCTTCAGGTGCAACCGTTGATGGAAGAGATCCAGCTCCACTCGACGTTGTGTCACAACAATATTGTACAGTATCTGGGTTGTGATCTGGTGAAACGGTGCGTACTTTTTTTTTGCTAATGATCCCTGCTAGCTTGCCCGGTCTAGGAAATCGATTACGATGGATAATTCGTATTAGGAAATTATCGCTTGAAAATCCCGATTCTGAAGTCTCAAAGAAAGTCTTTTCGACTTCCTAAATTTCTGCTAGCTTGCCCAGCCCAAGGAAATAGATTACGATAGCTAATTCACCTTCAGAATTGCTCAATATATATTTTTAGCGACTTTGGCAACGACGTCTTCCTGATCTTCATGGAGCACGTCCCGGGAGGCTCACTCTCAAATTTGTTGCGCCAAAAATGGGGAGCACTCAATGAGCCGCCGATGGTCCTTTATGGAAAGCAGATCCTCGGAGGACTCAAGTAAGTGGAGAGAGAGAGAGAGCGAGAGAGCGCGAGAGAGAGCTATAGAGAGCGAGAGAGAGCGAGAGAGAGAGAGAGAGCGAGAGAGAGCCCGCGCGAGAGAGACGCTCAACCTTTAATTATTTTTTCCAGATACCTCCACGAGCAAAAAATTGTCCATCGCGACATTAAAGGAGATAACGTGCTCGTGAACACGTACAGCGGAGTCTGCAAGATTTCTGATTTCGGAACGTGCAAACGACTCGCTGGCCTCAACCCGAATACAGCGTCTTTTACGGGTACGGAATTTGAATTCTCGAGGCGGCAGGCTAGCAGAGATCATTTAGGAATGGAAGGGGCAGGCTAGCAGAGATCATTTGGGAATGGAAGGGGCAGGCTAGCAGAGATCATTTGGGAATGGAAGGGGCAGGCTAGCAGAGATCATTTGGGAATGGAAGGGGCAGGCTAGCAGAGATCATTTGGGAAGGCAGGCTAGCAGAGATCATTTGGGAATGGAAGGGGCAGGCTAGCAGAGATCATTTGGGAATGGAAGGGGCAGGCTAGCAGAGATCATTTGGGAATGGAAGGGGCAGGCTAGCAGCAATTCTTTGAGGAAATGGAAGGGCAGGCTAGCAGAGACTTGTTGGGAAACTTCGAGCACAATGGCCAACACTGACATTTCAGGCACCCTGGTCTACATGGCGCCCGAGGTGATCGATCACGGACAGCGCGGATACGGTGCCCCGGCCGATATCTGGAGCTTCGGCTGCACCATGGTCGAGATGGCGACTGGGAAGCCTCCTTTCTTAGAGGTATATTTAATGACCATTGATTCCAAAAAATTTACCTTTTAGCTCCTATCACCTGAAGCTGCCTTGTTCCGTGTTGGGATGTTCAAATGCCACCCACCGATCCCCGAGGAGAAACTGACAGAGAAATGCGTCCAGTTTATCAAGAGGTAGCGATCAAAACGTCTCATTCACTCACACTCTCTCTCTCTCTCTCTCTCTTTTCTCTCTGCATTCCAAAATTACAAATTTTGTTTTAGTTGTTTCGACCCCGACCCAACCGCCCGCCCCACAGCCGCCAAGCTCATCGAGGACATTAACGGGATTGTGTCGTGAGTTTTTTGATGCCAATTTCAACATCTTTACTGTCTATCTATCGTTTTTAAAGGAACTATGAAGTCAAAATCGAGAGTCTAAAAATTCTAAACTCATTATTTTGAGTGGATATCGTCTAGAACTAGGTATTTTGAGCGAGATTTTGCCTTGATGGCTCCATAAAAAATCAACAGATTTTGAGAGAATTTCCATTTTCCTGTTCGTCGTATTGTGCCGACCCCCCAGATAATAGGGCTCACGGTTTAGCTCAAGAAATCGCAGCGGATCCATCACGAAGAAGCCGACGATCGAGCCGTCGAATCGGCATAAAGGAGGTGAGAAGCACTTTCAGGCCTATTCAAAAAGTTCCCTATGAACCGACAAAATAAAAATCAATAACAGCAAGAGCTCCCCGAAAAATCCCAAAAGTGCGAATTTTACGATTTTCTACAAATTTATGATGTTTTTTTTCAGAATTCGCCCGCTCCACCTCGCATATTGGCGGGATGGGAATCGAGAAAAAGGGCGAAGATGGTCCCGCCACGGATGGGACTACCGTAGCCGAAGGAGGTCCTCTAAAAGGACGCACCACTTCGGTCTCGAAGGAAGAGAAGCGTCTCCACCTCCGAATCGACCACGCCAGGTTGGAAGGGTATGCCGCTTACCCTCTGTTAAATCCCCCGAGTTCATTTTAAAGGGACCGTGAAGGCTAGTGGTTTGTGGATTTTGCCTTGAATGGTCCTTGAAAGCTAAATGGTCCCTTTAAAGCCTAATTTTCTTGCCTACCCCTGACCAAAAAAAACAACATATTTAATTTTGTGTACTGTGTGCTGTGTTTTCGTACCGTAACCTGTTTACTTGACCTCCGGCTCAGGCATAGGCTTAGGCTTAGCTTACAGGGTGGCCAGAAAAAAAATTGCCTGGTTTGCACTGAAATATCTCGCTAGGGGAAACGAATCGGACCATCGTTACCATGCCAGAATGCTTAAATATGCTGGGTATGAAGAATAAACACAAGTTGTTTTTTATGATTTTTGACGACCCACTACTCGTTAAGAATTTTTGAACATTTTTGAAAAAATAGAAAACTTTGAAGAGGAAAATCATGGAACTTTTTATGAGTTAGGGGGACGTGTAAGATATCAAAATGAAGCTCTTGGAATGCGCTATCAAATCAGTGGTAAAGATTATTGATCGGTTTAACTAGCCGTCAATAGGAGCCTTCGGAAAATCGGCACTTTTTGAAGGAATAATTCGAGATAAAATTTCTTTACCATCCGATATTTCTGATATTTTGCAGTTAGCAATAAATAGATATCTGCTAACTTTTGGCATCAAGATTCTCAAAATCCCGATCAAAAAAATTTTTGGCACTTTGCCAATACGATGGAATTTGTAATTTTACGCTCCTATAGTTATAATTATAACATGGTTATCTTTGGCCGCAGGATTACATGTAACAAGTACAAAATGTTATGGCAACAATGGGCTTTTTGTCGTCAACGGGGAATCGCCCTTTCTGGAAAAGTGCCGATTTTCCGAAGGCTCCTATTGACGGCTAGTTAAACCAATCGATAATCTTTACCACTGATTTGATAGCGCATTCCAAGAGCTTCATTTTGATACCTTACACGTCCTCCTAACTCATAAAAAGTTCCATGATTTTCCTCTTCAAAGTTTTCTATTTTTTCAAAAATGTTCAAAAATTCTTAACGAGTAGTGGGTCGTCAAAAATCATAAAAAACAACTTGTGTTTATTCTTCATACCCAGCATATTTAAGCATTCTGGCATGGTAACGATGGTCCGATTCGTTTCCCCTAGCGAGATATTTCAGTGCAAACCAGGCACTTTTTTTTCTGGCCACCCTGTAGGCTTAGCTTAGGCTTAGCTTAAGCTCAGGCTTAAGTTTAGGTTGGACTAGGCTTAGGCTTAGGCTTTGCTTAGGCTTAGGCTTAGGCTTTGCTTAAGTTTAGGCTTAGGCTTAGACTTACCGTAACCTTAAAACCCGATCTTTTATTTAGAAATCGCACTTTCTCCGCTTCGCCGGCCGATCCGCAGGCGGCGATGACCATCTCGCCGAACCCGATGTTCCCCTTCAGCCAGCCGAACAGGTAATAACAAAATTTAGCTTATTTAGCAATTCGAGTAGTATCTATCAATTTTTTCAGCCCGATTTCTGATGAAACACAGCAGCCGCAACTCGTCACCAGCCCCGGATCGGTACTTTCGACTCCGATGAGTGTCGGCCATCCACCGCTGCTGAATCGGTATGCTAATTTTCAGTTTTTTTCCTTTTTACCTTTAAATTTCTGTCCTCGAAATCTTATTGCTCTTTACATGGTTTTACTAGCAAAAATTTTTGGGTCTTGGCTTGATATTTCCTTTTTCCAAATTTCCCCTTTTATCTCGTCTGCGCTCGGCTTTGGCTTCTCTCTCTCTCTCTCTCTCTCTCTCTCTCTCTCTCTCTCTCTCTCTCTCTCTCTTTCTCTCCACCTCTATAGCTCTCTCTCTATCTTTCTCGCTCTCTCTCTCTCGCTCTGTCTCTCTCACCCTCGCTCTCTCGCTCTCTCTCTTTCTCTCCATCTCTATAGCTCTCTCTCTATCTTTCTCGCTCTCTCTCTATCTCGCTCTCTCTCTCGCTCTATCTCGCTCTATCTCTCTCACTCTCTCTCTCTCACTCTCTCTCTCTCTCTCTATCTATCTCTCTATCTTTCTCGCTCTCTCTTTCACTCTCTCTCCCTCTCTCGCTCTTCCTCTCTCTCCCTCTCACCTCCGAATTTTTGCAGGAATAGCGGCCCTCGCATATTCACGTACACAGAGCAAGTTTCTTTCCTCGTCTCGCCGACCCATGGCTCGTTACCGTAGTAGTGGGGGTTGTTGCGTAGCGTTCCGTACTCTCTCACAGCACCCCCTACAGTATGCCATTTGACCCCCAGTCCGGCTCTTTTTATCGTATCGTGCTGCATGCTCGGCATTTGCCTATAAAAAACGTTTTTAAAAAGTTAAAAAGTTAAAAAATTATCTCAAAACGTGAAAAAACGTAAAATTAGCCAAATTAATTCAATTTCATTAAAATTTCGCTAATCTTTTTGCTAAATCGTGTAGATAATTTTCCCATTTTTAAAAGCTATTTCCCCCGTTTCCCGTTAGCTAATCTGTAGTGCGCAATTTTCAGTTGATGCTGCCTGTTTGGCCGGCCCGTTTTGTGCTGTTTCTTGGACTTAAAAAACCAATCAATTCTAAAAATTGCCCTTTAGTACTGTATCCGATGAGAGCGGAAATCAGCGGTTCTTCATGCTGCGGAAAGACTCGGAACGTCGACACACGCTCGCCAATTTTATGACGGAATATAAGGAGGAGGTACGGTGGATTTTGGGGCGTGGGATAGTTTTGCTAAAGAACCTCTGCTAGCCTGCCGTGCGGGCTAGCAGAGATTCTTTGAGTAAATGAAGGGGCTGGAGGGCATGCCAGCGAAGATTCTTTGGGGGTATTGAAGGGGATGGACGGGCCGACTAACAGAGGTTTTTTCCGGAATAGAAAGCGATGGACCGGGCAAGTTAGCAGAGATTCTTTGAGGAATTGCAGGTGAAGGAGGGGCAGGCTAACAGAGACCATTTTCGATCCAAAAATGCTATTTTGCTTTCAGATTGTCCACATCTGGTTTAACCAATTGATGCAGAACGCAAAGTCCACCATTTATGTCACGAGGTAATTTAATTTAATTTAATTTAATTTAATTTAGTGAAATAACCGGCTTCAAAAAGTCTAGAAAATTTAAGGAGAAATCAAATTTTACGCTCGATTTTCCAGAAATATGCTTCGTACCCTGCTGGACGGGATGCGCAATTATTTGCTGTCGAAGGACGTGCAGCCGATTAAGGTGTGGAAAGAATTTTGTATACTAACTTAATGATACTTTCATATTCTTTTGAACACCCTTTAATACACGTTAATTTTTCAGGATTGCCTTAATGACCTCCGAACGCTCCTCGACTACGAGCCGACGGCAATTTCTCAGGTAATAAAATCGAATCGTTTCTAAAAAGCTTTTTGTCATTTTAGATAAACCTGGCGCTGTATGACTTTTCCGACGCGATGCAACCAGTCCTCCGGAAGTTGATCATCAAGCCGCATTGGTAGGAAATTTAAGAAGAGTGTTGGATCTTCAATAAAAGCAGAGGCAGGCTAGCAGAAATCATTGAGGAATCCTGAAAAAACTCTGCTGGTACTCCTCAACTGGGCAGGCTAACAGAGACCATCGCGGAATTTGCGCAGAATTACCTGGAGGATCGTTCCAAACCACAAGTAGAGATACTGGCTGGCCTGGTTATCTTGCCTACTCGCCGATACCCCAAAATACCAGCCGGCCAGCAATGACCGCTGAAAAAATTCCAAATAGTGAAATTCGAGCTTTGAAAGATCTTTGCTAGCTTGCCTCAATACCTTTTAAACTTAATATCCATATTAAGGCGCGGGCAAACGAGCAAATATCATTGGGGGAATTCAGAAGACCCGAAATTTTGATAGCTAGTCGTAAAAGATCGCTGCTAGCTTACTTCCCTGCAGGTAGTGTTGGGAAATTAGCTCGGCTCGAAAACCGAGCCGGCTCGAAAACCGAGCTTTCGGCGAAACCGAGCGGCTCGGTTCCACGGCTCGAAAAACCGAGCCGAGAACCGAGCGGCTCGGTTTCACGGCTCGAAAAACCGAGCCGAAAACCGAGCGGCTCGGTTTCACGGCTCGAAAAACCGAGCCGAAAACCGAGCGGCTCGGTTTCACGGCTCGAAAAACCGAGCCGAAAACCGAGCCGCTCGGTTCCACGGCTCGAAAAACCGAGCCGAAAACCGAGCCGCTCGGTTTCACTGTTTGAAAACCGAGCCGAAAACCGAGCCGGCTCGGTTTTCGCAATCATTGTACCAAATACTTTTGAATAATCAACAATGATTAATTATAATAATTATAATATTATATACAATGAATAATTAATTAGCTTCAAACGTTAAACACTTCTTGATGATCCTTTCTGGGTGTTTTCGTAGGATTATTTCGGTTTCTCATCCTTTCTACTTAGTTTTCCGATCAATATTACCCCGTTTCATCCTTTCTACTTAGTTTTCTGATCAATTTTACCCTTTCTCATCCTTTCTACTTAGTTTTCTGATCAATATTACCCCTTTGCATCCTTTCTACTTTGTTTTCATGCTTTTTCCCTTTTCGCAACAACCTGGTCAAGAACCTCGAAGTTTCTAGCATTCTGAACGGGGCGACGATTCTGGCCTCGTACTTCCCTGCTGATGAGTCGTTACAGACCAGCGAAGACGGAAACTAATCCCGAAATGTTGCAGCTCGTTCTTCTCTCGCTAACATTGCTTCAATTCGTTGTTTTTGTTTTGGAAATCCGTTGTTTCTGATACCAAGTTTAAAGAATCGTCGCCCGTTCAGAATGCTAGAAACTTCGAGGTTCTTGACCAGGTTGTTGCGAAAAGGGAAAAAGCATGAAAACAAAGTAGAAAGGATGCAAAGGGGTAATATTGATCAGAAATCTAAATAGAAAGGATGAGAAAGGGTAAAATTGATCAGAAAACTAAGTAGAAAGGATGAAACGGGGTAATATTGATCGGAAAACTAAGTAGAAAGGATGAGAAAGGGTAAAATTGATCAGAAAACTAAGTAGAAAGGATGAAACGGGGTAATATTGATCGGAAAACTAAGTAGAAAGGATGAGAAACCGAAATAATCCTACGAAAACACCCAGAAAGGATCATCAAGAAGTGTTTAACGTTTGAAGCTAATTAATTATTCATTGTATATAATATTATAATTATTATAATTAATCATTGTTGATTATTCAAAAGTATTTGGTACAATGATTGCGAAAACCGAGCCGGCTCGGTTTTCGGCTCGGTTTTCAAACAGTGAAACCGAGCGGCTCGGTTTTCGGCTCGGTTTTTCGAGCCGTGAAACCGAGCCGCTCGGTTTTCGGCTCGGTTTTTCGAGCCGTGGAACCGAGCGGCTCGGTTTTCGGCTCGGTTTTTCGAGCTGTGAAACCGAGCCGCTCGGTTTTCGGCTCGGTTTTTCGAGCCGTGAAACCGAGCCGCTCGGTTCTCGGCTCGGTTTTTCGAGCCGTGGAACCGAGCCGCTCGGTTTTCGGCTCGGTTTTCGAGCCGAAACCGAGCCGAGCTAATTTCCCAACACTACCTGCAGGCAGGAGACTAGCAGAGATCTTTCAGGAATTTGTGCAATTCAGCAATGTAACGGTCCAGGTCCTAAAAAATCGCCGCTAGCTTGCCTACCCCTTTTAATTGACTTCGCAATCCCTTTAAAAGCTAAATACTCACCTTCGGTTTTTAGGATGTTCGCCCTGGACAACTTGATCCGATCGGCTGTGCAAACTGCCGTCCAAATCCTCAGCCCTGATTTGTCGGCGGTACTCCAGGTATGGTATTCGATTACGATACTAAATTCTATACCTGATTATGCTAAATTATTACATTTTTAGGTCCACGATATCAATTCGCCGTCAACGAGCGGAGTCCAGCGTCCATCCGTCAGCCGGGAAAGTGCTGTTAGTGAAGGTAAGGGAGGGGCAGGCTAGCACGGACCCTTTGAAAAAAAGACCAATTTCTATCGATTTTTCAGCAGAAACCGGAGACAGTCGTCCCCCATCCGCCCCGCCCGCCTTCGACTCGTCGGTCGTACGAGAGCGTCGAGATAACCTGAAGAATGTTCATGAAGAGAATCGACAGCTTTTCGATCAGTACGTCGTTTTCCCAAATGCTCTCTGCTAGCATGCCCTGAAAACATTGCTAAACTCGTTTGCAGGCTCCTGGAGGTGGAGCGCGAGCTGAACACGCTGCTCCGGTTGGTCATCGACGACAAGAGGCGGAAGATCTCGACGCTGAGAGAGGTGTCGGAACGGCCGAGTGAGGATTTTGATGTTTATCTCTTACTCTGGCTCTTACTCCTCTCTCTCTCTCTCTCTCTCTCTCTCTCTCTCTCTCGTGTCTAATTCACACTTTTTCAGTGCCACCGCTACAAGGCCTCTCCACCCTCCCGAATGGCATGGCTAACGGCTCGGCGACGTCGTCCAGCGCCCCCTCACCGCAGAACTCGTTACCGAAGTGAGTGTCAGTAGAGAGAAAGAGAGAGAGAGCGAGAGAGAAAGAGAGAGCGAGAGAGAGAGATAGAGCTAGCGAGATAGAGAGAGTGAAAAACGAATCCCTGCTAACCTGCCCATTTGCAGACACGCCGATGAGCTTGTCACCTGGCTGCGAAGTCTCGATGTAGATGACCATTCTATCGCCTGCATCATCAGAGAGGGCTACACAAAGCCGGACATCTTGGAGTACGTCGGCAGGGAGGAGCTGAGGCAGTGTGGCGTTGCGTGAGTTTTCCTAACCTCTTCCTAAAAAACCTTTGCTAGTTTTCCCTGTTCCATAGCTGGGCTGAACTGCTTGAACTTGAGGGATTTTTTAAGAAAGGCGGTATTTTCCTAAGAGATCTCTGCTAGCTTACCTTCGCTAAGACAGGGTTGGACTCATTGAAATCATGCAAATTCGCTAGTTTTTTTTGCAAGGAAAGCTGCAGCTGAACGCCTTGAACTCTTTGGAATTCCACATCTCGTATTTCTTACAAACACACCTCGAATTTTCAGAGGCGGCGCCTCGTGTCGAATCCTGCGAGCCTGCCAGGAGGCGCGGTCGCGTCGCGGGCACGTCTTACTATCACCGCCCTTGAGGTCCCGCGACGATTCCCTCGACGACTACCATTCTTCTATGGCAGATGACGTTACCACGGATGTTCAGTACCACCATTAAACCTCATAAGGTTAAAGGGACCCGGACAGCAAGCGCCGTTCTTTTAAAAAATTCATTTTTGTGAATGTAATACTGCTTGAACTTGTTAAAGTCGCTGGTAATTCCCTCGAGTAGAAATTCGACTTTAAAGGGACTGGGAGACGAAAATATGTAGGAAACTGGGTACGGTAGCGTTTTGGCAACTTTCCAAGATGTTCCGCAAGCCTTCCCAGTCCCTTTAAAACGTCTATAAAGCAAATTTTCTTGCCTAGACTTGCCAAAAAACTTCCCTCCCATAGATTAAAGGTATTAGCAAGGCAGTACATTACTATGGATTTTGTTAGTCTAGATTTACTGTGGATCTTCCCGCGGCGCGACGCGCAGCGCGCCACCACCCGCAAAGCGGCACGAAACGCGACGCGAGAGCCGACGCGACGAACTAGCAAAGCGTCGCGAAACGTAAAATGGAACGCGCTACACAACGCGAAACTTAACGCGACGCGACACGCAACGCAGAGCGACACGTAACGTAATGGGCCCGCAATCTACGTCAAATTCCACGCGTTGCGTATCGCGACAAAATTTGGAAAATTGGGCGAAAATCCAAAGCTAACAAAATCCATAGTCACTGCCTTGCCGGTTCCTTTAAAAAGCGACACGTGGTGCTTGCGTACGGCCAGCTTTTGTATTTTCATCCTAATGATCGATTTTTAATGCTTAATTATGATTTTTCATCTAGCTTTGACTAGGTTTCTCGTTCACCCATCTAGATCGATTCGAGCAATTTTTACGTTTTTTAAAGCGCATCTGTGAATACTACTACTGTAATCTACCGTATTCCCCTGATAGTCTTGTATTTATGTATTTTTTCCGTTGTCTTAAATATATGCAAATCACCCCTAAAAAATGTATTAACGGTACTGTGTATTATACTTTTTCGATTTTTTAGCTATTGCTGAAGGCTGTGATTCAATTCCCCCTTGACAGGGTTACGGTAACGATGGGCTACTGTATACCCCACGCGAAAATATGCAAATTTTGCCCCCCACTGGTTTATGCTTCAAATACTACGGTAGTTGTGATGACATGTGTACGTTTTGTATGACTCCGGCTTACTGTAGAGCTGATAAAAATTTATTGAAAAAATAGGAGTGTTTCGGAAATTACATCGAGAGAGAGAGAGAGAGAGAGAGAGTGAGAGAGAGAGCGAGTCAATGGGTGAGAGAGAGAGCGAGAGTCCGAGAGAAGCAGGGAAGGTGAGAAGGAGAGAGCACGGGAGAGCGCTAGAGAGAAAGAGTTAGCACGACATATCGAGAGAAGGAGCCCAAGAGAGTGAAGGGGAGAACGAGAGCACGAAAGGGAATAAGGGAAAGAGAGAAAGTACGAGTTATCGAGAGAGAGCTCGAAAGAGCGTGAGAAAGAGAGCACGAGCCAGCTAGAGAGAGAGAGAACGAAACAAGAGAGCGAAGGCTTCGTTATCTATTTTTAACGGTGAGCAGCAAGTTTCTGCCGTAGCTGCTCCTCCATCGAGCCCTCGACAGAATCCTAAGAAGTTAGAAAAATAGTTTTTTAAATTGTTCCTCACAATTTGCTCGCCGTCCTTGATGAAAATAAAAGTCGGCATGACGTTGATCGGGTAGCGGGAGACGATTTCTTCCTGAAAAATTAAAATTATCCGGCTTTAAAGGCACTAGGAAGTGCGATAATCGGCCTCTTCAATGGACTAGGTCTCGACAGCTACGCGACACTCCAAATGCCACTTATGCTAGCTTTAAAGTCTCACTAAAAGCTTGTTATTAGTAGCGTCGCGTAGCTGTCTAGACCTAGCCGTTGACCATGGTTGATTCTCGGGGTTCTAGCCCCTTTAAGTCCGAAAATCGGAAAAATTTCTTACATTTTCATCAACGTCCACCTTCACGAAGACGATGTCGTTCATCTGGTCGGACATTTTCTAAAAATGCGTGTTTTTCGGGTTTTTAAGGTTTTCGGCTGATTTTCAGAGTATTACTGTAATCGAATCTCTGGGTTCCTGACTTTTCTATCCCTTTAGAATGTACTCACGCTAAACTTGGGCCCCATAATCTTGCACGGGCCACACCAAGTGGCGTAGAAGTCGACGACGATCAGCCGGCTGCTGTGGTCCTCGAGCAGCTTCTCGAATTCGTCCTAGAAGGGGGCGTCGAAGTTTGGTTTTACGTTTTGGCTCAGGCTTAGGCTTAGGGTTTAGGCTTAGGCTTAGGCTTAGGCATAGGCATAGGCATTAGGCTTCGGCTTCGGCTTGGGCTATGTTTGAGCTTCGCTTACTGTAACCGTTTTTTGTTGACCGTGGGATTTCGATACGTGAGATAGCACATTTTGTGCAGAATTTTTCGCTGTTCCACGAGTTTTTTAGCAGGATTTAAAGTTTGTAATTTTCGGTCATTTGGGGTAGAAAACCGGCTGTAACTTTTTATCTAGAGGGGTTCCGCAACTTTTGAAAACCGATTCGGAATCAGCGAAAAATTCTGCACAAAATGTGCTATCACACGTATCGAAATCCCACGGTCAACAAAAAACGGTTACAGTTAGGTGGGGCTTAGGCTTAGATTTAGATTTGGGCTTAGGTTTAGGCTTAGGCTTAGGGCTCTGACATAGGCTTGGCTTAGGCGCAGGCTTAGGCTTGGATAAAAGGCCAAACGAAGGCCCAGAAATTCCTAAATAATCGCTGCTCGCTGCTCCCTGCCAGAGTTCCCATTCTCAACCCACCAAATCTTCCGGCTGCAGCACCACCATTTTTCTCGAGCTCAAGGCAGGAAGTCCCAAATACACTCAAAAACACTTGGCGGTAAAAAAAATGATTTGGTGAGCTACCGGTGGTGGGCCAGTCACAATTAGCGGCGTTGCCCGGGTAATTCTTCACACAATTCGGGCTTTTCCCCCTCCCTTCCAAATTAATTAGCAGCTGTGGGAATACCGGCCAGATTCGCGTGAGAGGCCCAAATTTGGGGAATTTTTTGGGAAGAAAAATTTTGGGCCCAAAATGCCTGATTGTGGCCGCCAAGAGGGGTGACAATGTGAAAATAGAGGGGTCGACGGGGAGTGACTTCAAAAGAAAAACAAATCACGCGAGAGACTGTCGATTTTAAAGGGATGGGCAAGGCATGAATATTTATATTTTTTATTACGGCGGCGCTTGTTCAATAGCGGGGGGGGGTTTCAGGCCGAAAAAGCGTTTTCCTAGGTCCTGGAATAAAAGATAACCAAGTTTTTGAAGGATTTACACGGGATTTAGACAAAAAACAGCTGTGCCGAAAAGTGGCAAATTTCAAAGTATTGGCATCGCGCCAAAAATTTACGAATCCGGATTTTTCAGGTCCATTTCATAACCGTGACGGCAATCAAGTGACTTCTTTTTCACTTCCCGATGATCCCGATCGATTTGATCCCCTTCCTAAAATGGCTAAAAATGTCCACAATTTTTATAAAATTTCAAAGCTGTTTTGGGCGTCGAGGCCTCGCGCGGGCCAGCGCCATCCGGCTCCCTCGCCTAAAGCCTGCCCCAGCCACAGTACCCGTGCTGCTTTTCGGGCCACCCCGACGGCCCTCCTTTTCATCATAAACCCTAGCCAAAGCATATATTATTTGAATTTTACGTTGATTTTCTTGCGATTTTCTTGGTTTTATGCTTTTTTACGCTGCGCAAAATGATCAGCATCGAGAAAAACGCATTCGGTTGCGCCTAAAAGCTCCTGGCTCTGAAATTTTGGGCCTCAAAATTGCCGTCAAAAAGTCGATACTCGCCTTTTTGTCGTTTTCCTGACTGTATTGTTGTAATTTGAGACTTACAATGTTTTCCGATGGTTCACAGCTTGATTTCCCCTGTTTTGACGCCTTTCGGTGAACATTTCGCGTTTTAGCCACTAAAAACACTTAGATTACTCGGCCTAAAGGCTTTTGACCCAAATACACACTTTTTGATTGCAATATTACGTTTAGAAGAGCTCATTGTTTTCACTAAACTTTATTTTCTTGGATTTGGCTTGCATAACCTCCTTTTTGCAGTGTAACCCGATCAAGTACAACTGCCTGGCCCTGAGCATCGTTTCAAACAACAAGATGGTCGACTTAGACGTGAACAAGGAGAATGAGGAGGTAGAGCCCTCGTTCGACGATCCAGAGGACTTTGAGGATGATATCGCAGATGAAGGTATAAACTTTTAGGCAAGAAAACCTTTTTGTTTATTTTAGAACTGCTCGGCGACGTGCTAAAACAAGAGCCGCTCATCGACGAGTACGAGGAGAACTGCCTGATCCTCTTCGGCCTGCCCATCGTCAACAAAGAGAAGTTCCCAAAGTTGCAGGTAAGATTTTTCAGAATTTTCTGATTTATTTTTTTTAGGCCGTCGTCGCGAAGGTGCTCAACGGCATCAACACGAGCAACAAGGTCGAGTACCCGGTCGATGCCGATGGGAATACAAAGGTAATTTTCTTTTTTTTGTTTGAATTAGTGCTGTTAAGGGTTGTCTCTTCGTCGAATGGGAGAGCAAAGATGTTGCCCAGTACGCCCTCACCGTCCTCAACGGCTACCGGCTCGACAAGAACCACGCGTTTTCGGCCATTTCGGTGGGATCAGCTCTATAATTTTTTTACGAGAATATCCGATTCCAGATCGCCGACATGAAATCGATGGAAAAACCCGACGAGGAATGGGAAGCCCCCAAGCCCAACGAATATGTCAATGTCGTACGTTTAGCGACGTCTTTCTCGATATGGGGGTTTTAGGGCGATTTGTGGTCGTGGATGCAGAACCCGCGGTGCCGTGATCAATTCGCCGTCCAGTTTGAGGACAACCACCACGTGCCTCACGTCGGAATCTACTGGCACGTCAAGGGACACGAGCCCGAAGTCGCCGATGAGGGCCAGAAACCTGTGCGTAATACTCACGCTTGTTTTTGAGTCAGAAGAGCCTTTGAAAAGTTTTCTTGCTCGTACCAAAAGATGCTCAGAAAATTTTTGGCTTTTTCCATGTCTTTCTGTGAGGTTTTTTCGTATAGCGCAAAATCGGGAAGCCGAATTTTTCTAATCTCAAGAGCAGCTGTTGATACACGGTTTTTACTAGCGGGTGCCACAGAACTTTGATCCTAAAATGTAACGTAGATGAATAATCATCTAACGGAAATTGCCGAGTTTCAAGCATTTTTCTGGTTTTTCGAATGTTTTGATTATAGAAAAAAGACCGCTGCCCGATTTTGCTGTTTTATTTTTCAGAAAATTTTGGAATTTTCTTTTCCAGAACTGGACCGAGTCCGTCTTCAAATGGACCCCATATGGCAGCTACCTGGCGACGATCCACGGCCGTGGTATAGCGTTGTGGGGCGGCCCCAAGTTCCAACGCTACCTCCGATTCGAGCACATCGGCGTCCAATACTTTGACTTTTCCCCTTGTGAAAAGTACGTTATCCTGTTCCTTTCTCTAATCTTCTTTTTAGCTTCATGGTCACGTACGCGCCGGCTAACTCGAGATGGGGCGAAGACGACAACTGCCTCCAACTTTGGGACATCCGAACAGGAGAGATGCTGAAGGGATTCTCGCTCTACGCCCTCACACTACGCAACGAGATGCCCTGCTGGCCGTTCTTCCAGTACATTTTATAGGCCTTTGCAATCTCGTATTATGAAAAATTCGTTTTATGGTGGTCACGATATTTGATTTTTTTCCTATGAGAGCATTTATTTCAGTAATTGGTGGAACGTATTAGATTGGCGTTTTTCGTAAAAATTTTTATAAATTAATAGTAAAAACACTTTAGAAAGCTAAGGAAGAGGTTTGAAAATCTGAATTTTGGGCTGAGGATCTGTATTTTCGAAGTTGAAGTTCAAAAAAACTTTGGAGCAACGCTAGCTCAAAGTAGATCAGGAAATCTTGTTGTTGCCCACGTCTCGCGAAACAACCCCTTTTTTAAAATCTGTAATTTTACTTTTAGATGGTCCCACGACGACAAGTACTTTGCGTGCCCAAAAGTGCCCGAGCGTGATCGTCTCGAGAAGCAAAAGAAGGTCAACGGCATCGCCGTGTTCGACTCGGAGACGCTGCAGCTCGTCGGCAATCGCTACCTCGTCATCGAGAACATCAGGCAGTTCAGCTGGTCCCCAGGAGACAAGAATATCATCGCCTACTACTCTGAGGTATCGGAAGTAAAGTTTTGTAAATTATCTTTCTTTTTAGGCCAGCGAACCCATCCCCGCCGAATTCGGGCTGATCAGCATCCCGTCCGGCGAAAAGCTGCGCTCGGGCCGTGTCTTCAACGTGGCGGAGGCGCAAATGTTCTGGCAAGAAAGCGGAGCACGACTTGCCGTTCATACAGTCAGGTATATTGAGTGTTTGCATGGCGTTATTTCATCTTTGTTTTTAGGTATAACAAGAAGACGATAAAAGAAAACGGCGAGGTGAAATACGTCGGCGGCGTCAAATCCCACCTCGAAATCTTCGAGCTGTCGAACAAGAAGGACATTGCCATCATGCACCTGCCACTTTCCGAGCCGTTCATCAACTTTGGCTGGGAGCCGAATGGTACATTTTAGAGGTTTTTTAAAGATTTAGGAACGTAGGAATAACTGCGCGCATTTGTTGTCCTAAATTAGCTAAGCCTAATTCATTTTGCTGTATTTCTCGATATAGACATTTTTCTCCGCATCCGCTACGTTTTTCTGGTTCAGTATTTTGTTACCAGGAATGCCGGAATGCGGAAAAGGCAAAAATTATGAACACTTAAAAAGATGCAAAAAGTTAGGTTGTCAAACTGAAAATCATCGGCTTTCGATTCCAATACGGCTTTTCAGGCGACAAATTCTGCGTGCTCATCGGCAGCCAAGCCAAGGCCACCCCGTTCATCTACCGGATCGAGCCGCTCAAGCACTCGCCCGTCTGCATCGGACAGCTCGAAGCCGGCGTGTCGTTGAATACGGTGTGCTTCGCGCCGGCTGGTGGATGGTGAGGAATTTGAAATTGTAACTTTAAAATAGTGCCAAGATTTGAATTACGGCGCGAAAATGAAGTTCTGTAAGCCGTATAGCTATTCAAAAATCCGCAAATCGGCAAAATGGAAGTATAAAACATGTGTTTTTTTCGCATGAGCTTCTCGTATTTCCATCCGGATACCTTTAATTTCCCATTTTTAGGCTGGCAATCCTGGCCCTCGGCTCGACTGGTGGCAACATCATCTTCGTCGACACCAACGGCCAAGAGGTCAAGCGCACGTCGATCGCCGAACATCCGCTCTTCAACAAGGCCTACTGGGACCCGACCGGCCGGTACTTCGTCTCGTGCTGTGCCGTTGGCGCTCGTGGCAGCGATTTCGGCTTCCGGTTATACACTTTCCAAGTGAGAAAATTTATTATCTTGAAAATTTAGCTTTAGGGCCGTGAACTTCTGCGCAAGAACCTCGACCGCATGACGCAATTCAAGTGGCGGCCACGTCCTCCCGTCAAGCTCTCCGAGCAGAAGATCAAGGAGATTCGGTTTGTCCATCCATGGAATTCCGAATGACTCTTATTTCAGAAAGAACCTGAAGACGACGTCGGCGAAGTTCGACCGCGAGGACAACGAGGAGAAGGTCAAGGCCAGCCAGGAGGTCATCGACAAGCGCCGGAAGATCATGGGCGCGTTCGACGTCATCCGCCGGCGGAATCTCGACCTCATCGAGAAGACGAAGGCCGATCGACTGCAGTTGCGCAGTACGTTTCATATTTTTTACGGATCTTTGTTGCGCAAAATCGGGGGTGGAAGAGACTTTTGTTAGGCCAAGTTTTTTATGGAAAAGCGGGAGTGTCTATACCTTTTTACTATCTCAAAAATGTACGAAGTTTTGTTTTATTAAAAAACCAATGTTTCGCCAAAATTTGACACTTTGAAAGGTGTTTCAAGGTTTTTTGAATTGTTTACGACTTGAATTTTAGCAAGTTTTATCAGAAAACCTATTTATGATATAAAAGGGAACTGTTTCTACAGGTTTTTTTGCTATTTCTAAAAAGTGTACGAATTTAATTTCAGAAATACTAAAAACATCAACGTTTCGGCTAAATTTCAATTTTCGAAAGATTTCCAAACTTGCTCAATTGTTTTAGGAATTTAAATTAGCTAAAGTTAGCAAAATTTTATCAGGAAACTGCTAAAATACTTTCTATTACATTACTAGTGAACTGAATTCTTGGAGAAAGGTTTTCACATAAAAAAAAAAATCGCAAAAACCTCCTCCGATGTTTCAAAAGATCGTGCATACATTTTCATAAATCTTTCCTTGCAGACGGCATCGACACGGAAGCGGAGGTGCACGACGACGACCTCGTGGAGGAGACGATCACGATCGCGCTCTCGACCCAGAAAACCCTGACGATCCTCTCGGAAGAGGACGAGCGCGACTAATCCATCAAATAACCGCCCCGCCATTTGTTTCTTCTTCTTCTTCTTTTTGCCTTTCCGTTGTCTCCGGTTTTGCTCTCGCTCGCTCGCTGATGTTGTCCCTTCTTTTACGGTATTTATCCCGAATTTTGGTGCTGCTGTGGGCCGGTGGGCCTCCTGAGGTCGAACTGTTGCTCCCCCTCTCCGCGGCTTCTGGGGGCCCACCACTTAAAAAAAACGCCGGTCCCATAGTAGCCCAAATGCGTCTGTCCTGTTTACTGGTGATAAGGGTCTTGTTATTGTTTCAGACCAATAAAGTTTTATAAAGTTTACATTCGCATTCGCAATTTTGAAGATCTGATTTGGAGTATATCATATTTTCCAGGTTTTTAGACCATTTTATGAGATTTCGGATGAGCAACACCTTTTTCGCCGGTATCTAAGATTGTTTCTGCTCGAACGGCGTCGCTCATTTTTCATTGGCCCGATTTTTTGCTGCTGGATGCTGATTCTGCAGTGCTCCTCTATCTGCCAATCCCATTTGTCAATCAGTCGGTTATCATCTGCCCCGTCTAAACGGATTGATATCGGCTGGTCCACTTTTCTCGGCACAATGATATGGCCTTGGTTGCGCCAGCGAATCGTTTTATGGGCGGGGCGAGGGATGTTAGCTGGCTGGTTTTCGGAGCTTTACTGTCCTCTATCTTTTTCCTGTCTTATTGATGGTCTTCAACTTTCTTTTTAATTAACTTAACGTAGTTCTTTTTAGTTTAACAAGTGTTAGGCTTTCTTTTTAGTGCTTTGTAAGTCAATTAAGCGGCTTTCTAGCCTTTTGAAGTTACCGTTGACATCGTTAATCATAGCTTTTGCATGCTAGATCTTTCAATTTTCTTCCGAATTCGAGGATTTGCATAAGACTAACTTACTCAAAATGACAACATTTTCAAGCCCTACTCAGCGCGCTCAAGCTCCTCAACTCTAGCCCAATGCTGTCCGCTTCGGTCCGTGGCGCACGTGCCCTGTAAGTGGGCTTTACTTTCTAAACTTGTTTTCATAAATATTTTGCGTTTTTGAAAATAACTGTTAAAGTTTAAAATGCTCTAAAAAGACCCGGGAAAATTGCGTTATATGGTCACTAAACGGATTTTGGATTTTTATATACCAAAATGCTCAGCAGTTCGAGCTGGTTCAGGATCAGTTGAAAAAACTATTGGGAAACACTTCTGGAGCGAGTTATAACACTTCAAAGTTGGCGAGTGTCGTATATGGTCACTAAACGGATTTTCGATTTTTATATGTCAAAACGCTCAGCAGGTCGAGCTGATTCTAGAACAGTTGAAAAAACCTTTGGGAAAAATCTCTGACGCGAGATAGCTAGCTTACAAACCGTCCATTCAGCCCCTGAAGTAGTACGTAGTACACCAAAATACGCCAACTGTACATCGTAAAGAAACGGAATGGTGGAGAATTGCCGTTTCAAGGGTAAAAAAAATACATTGTCAGGCAAGGTGGGCCGTCGCTTCGGATGGGCTGCCGCTCCACTCTTTCGAAATCGAGGCGCCTGGGCGCTTCGCGCTCCTCGGGCGCCCCGATTTCGAAACCCTGTACGAGCTCGCACCCATCCGAAGCGACTAGGCCCCGGGGTGGCACGAAGCCTTATTTTTAGGCTCAGATCCAGTGTGTAATGTCAAGCCAAACGCTTATCGCACACTTATCCATCTTCCCCCTAAAACGGAATTTCCGGGGCAAAAACATGGTATATAGGGGGCTGTTTGAAGCCCAGCTTCGAAGTGGTATATCTCATAAGTGGTATATTATTCAACGTACTCCCATGAGTCAGGCAAGGTGGGCCGTCGCTTCGGATGGGCTGCCGCTCCACTCTTTCGAAATGGGGGCGCCCCCGGCCGCTTCGCCGGCCTTGGCGCCCCCATTTCGAAACCCTGTACGAGCTCGCACCCATCCGAAGCGACTAGGCCCTGGGTGGCACGAAGCCTTATTTTTAGGCTCAGATCGGGTATGTAGTTTCATGCCAAACCCATTTCGAACCCAACCATTTTTCGCACCACCGAAAACTGACTCGCCTGGGCGACAACGTTATGTATTGGGCCGGGGTAACGCGAAACTTTGTAGTGTTATATCTCGCTCCAGAAGTATTTCCCAAAGGTTTTTTCAACTGTTCTAGAATCAGCTCGGCCCGCTGAGCATTTTGACATCTAAAAATTCAAAATCCGTTTAGTGACCATATACGACACTCGCCAACTTTGAAGTGTTATAACTCGCTCCAGAAGTGTTTCCCAATAGTTTTTTCAACTGATCCTGAACCAGCTCGAACTGCTGAGCATTTTGGTATATAAAAATCCAAAATCCGTTTAGTGACCATATAACGCAATTTAGCCAAAGACCCTTCATTTCTAAAAGCGCAGCTCGAATTTTTGACGAATCCTCTTTCCTATTTGATAGGCCTATTTGTCCGCTCTACCCGTCCTCCGCCTCTTCGATTCGCCTGTTTGAAGCCCCGGAAATGGCGGTGAAACTGTTTGTAGATGCGAGGGAGCGCGGCGGAGGACGGGGAACAGGAGCCGGTGGCAAAGCGGGTGAAGGGCGAGGAAAAGGCAGAGGAGTGGGCGACGGCTTCATCTATAAGAATTTAACTTTGAAGTTTAATTTCACGGCTCTTTTATGAATGTAGCGTGTTCAAAAGTCTGCTTCTTTCGAAATTGTTCGATTTTTAGGCTTTTAGAGCTTGTAAAATAACTTTCTAGCATAGTTTTTGCCCTTGACAAGATAATCCGTGAATTAGCGGGTCTAGAAAATGCTATTTCGAACTTTGATTATGCTGATCATTTGATCCCAATTTTGGATTTTCGTACTTTTGATAGTTTTATAGTGTGAAAATACATCAAAAATTACATTTTAGCCGGTTTATCGGCTTCTGCAATTTTTACCCTATTCTAGAAAATGCTGGTTTTTACGTATTATTTTGTTTATATACCTTTATCTATATACATAATTATTTATCTATATTTCTATGACTTTTCTCATGTTTCAGAGCCACCCGCGCCATGTCCAAATCCGTCCGCCAGGTCATCCACAGCGACAAGGCCCCCGCCGCCATCGGGCCCTACAGGTAGACAGTTTTTTTTACTTGATTTTAGAGATTATTACGCTACGAAACACACCTATGAACGAACACCATTTCTTTCAGCCAAGCCATCCGCGCCGGCAACACGCTCTACCTGTCCGGGTCGCTGGGCATCAAGCCCGAGTCGGGGGTGGGTTTTTGGCGGCTTTTAACGACTTTTTAATGGGTTTCTCGCATGCCCGGCGCGCAACGTGACGCGGCGTGCCTTGCCGATCCCTTTAAAAACCAACGTTTTTAGGAACTCGAGAAGGGCATCAAGGACCAGACGCACCAGAGCCTCCGCAACATTGGCGAGGTGCTGAAAGCGGCCGGCGCCGGATATGAGAATGGTGAGTACATATTTCGAAATGGTTTTCTTATTCATAAAGATAGAAAATTTACAAGAAAAAATTTTGATTTTAAAATTATTAAAATTAAAGCTTTGCTGATCTAAAATTCTGAAAATTCACACTATTAAAACCTCGGCTTTTAATGCCGATTTTTTTCATAATTTAATGTTTGTAAAAATCTGGCAGATTTTTCTCATAAGTTTTCCGTTTGGAATCTAGATAAATTTTATTGGAAAATTTAGTAAGAACCCTTATCGCGAAAAACGTGCACCCCCCCGATAATGCAAAAGCTCCATAAAAATATTTGCTTTTTTTGTAGTGGTGAAGATGACGGTGCTGCTGGCCGACATCAACGACTTTGCGACGGTGAACGAGATCTACAAGGAGTACTTCAAGGGCGACTACCCCGCACGTTCCGCGTATCAGGTAGACTTTTGATTCAATTTTTAAAGGCCATTGAAGCCTAAATCCATAGAAAATATAAGATTTTTCAAATTGATTTCCCCTGTTGTAGGTGGCCGTCCTGCCGAAGCAGGCCCTCGTCGAGATCGAGGCGATCGCCGTCGTCGAGTGAAACGCCTAGAATTTTTGCTCTCTCTCTCTCTCTCTCTCTCTCTCTCTCTCTCTCTCTCTCGTTACTTCCATCTCTCTCGTTTCTCTGTTATTAATTGCCATATCACGCACGACGTTGTGTCGGTTCATTCCAGAATTATCGAAAATTCCCTGTTCATCTCCCTGTGCGTGTAGTTTGATTTGTTCGTGTAGGGTGGATAAAGCGTTCAGTCTATTTTTTCAGTTTATTCGACTATTTTTGGGGGTTTTTTACACTCATCTAACATTGTGAACCATTGGCTCAAACACAAAACTGGAAAAAGCAGGGGAGATGGTCCTCTAGAAAACTAATCTAGAAGACCAATCACCTTAAAGCAATGGAAGCATACACAAGAATTCCGCACTCAGGCTGGTAGTAGGCATAATTTGCAGAAAAGTCAAAGGTATCAAATATCAAATCATTAGTATCAAATCATTTAAAAGTCTAGTTATCGTATTCAACATCCAGGGTCGTATATAAAATTTTCAAAATCTCGATTTCGTGCTTACCCGGGCCCATATTATGCGCGTGTGGCTTTGGCTTTACTCGGAGATACCCGTAAGAATTCAGGAAAATTGGCCTAGAAAATGAGAAAACACTAAAAGCGTAAAAATTTAAGATAACGTACAAAAAGCAAAATTACTGCCAAAGTTAATGAATTCGTTGCTGCGTTTCCAGGGCTTATTTTGGTACTGTGCGCGATAAAAATTTAGGCAACATTCGTTGGAGCTGCAATTAAAACTTTTTGCATGTTTTTCGATTCTGTATCGAATGCCGTTGAAAAAGGCCGAAAACGAGCTAGGGGTTCGAAAATTCTAAAGCTGTAAAGATGCTTCTAAAGCTCCCATTTTCCGGAGCATTTGAATCCCAACACAGCTTTTCAGGCTTAGAGAGCGCACGAAACCGCTGACAGTCATTTCCAGGCCGAGGATCCCAAAATTCGCGCGCTTACCCCCGGGCAAAACCGCAGCCACACGTGCATCATTCTGGGCCCCGCGGCCAAATTAGGGAGGCTCGATTGGGTCTGCGTCGGCACGGATCTTCCGAATAAATGCGTGAAAAGATTCTGGAAATTGAGGGATTAATAAGGTGTCGTAATCGATTGGCCGTACGGCAAAAATTAGACAGAAACAGCGAAAAACAAACCTTCACTGGTTGGCTGCTTGTGAACCTCGTCGTATTTTGTCTGAAAATAGCGGAATTGACGAGTGATATT